CTCTAGATTGCAGGGGAAAGGCTGCAAACCTAACCACTGTCACCTGGGAGTAAGCCTGACTGAATTCGGTAAGACTGACTTCTGAGTAGACATTGTTAGGATTGTGCTGTAAGCTAAGAAGTGTTGAATTCAATAAAGATTGAAGTCAGACATTACATGTCCCTTCTGCATTATACAATGTGAAACAGTGTCACATCAGATAGCTATTTCTCATATGGCTATGTCTGAAGAAAATGAAGCACTCCTTCTATAACTTCAAAACCTCCATCATCTCTTTACTGTCATGGAGGCACTTGTAACAGAATTCATTATAATTTACTCTCACTTGAAACCAGTTTAAACCGATGATTATTTGAGAGAATTGGCTTTTTCACAGGATGTCTATTTTTGTTGGTCTTGGAGAGGCTTTAAGTGGTATTAAAGCAACCTAGAATGTCACATATAACTAGTACACACTCTCTCTCTCTCTCCTTGTAAAGGCATCCCAATGCAATAAGTATGCATGTGTTGCTCTATCCATATCAAAAGCACTTCTTCTTTCAGCTCATGATTTCATAGAGTGCAACCTCACTTTTCCTAAACTTGCACTCATGTGGAAGTTGCTTGCAAATGAATCTATGTGGCAGTTGCGCCACATGGCAAGTGCCACATGGATCAGGCAATATGCAGTATCCTCTATTCAAAACATTCCAGTTTGCTGCTTATGGATACACGGAGAGAAGAAAAAACATTGCTAAAAGCTGATCCATATAAAAATAATCTACATTCACACAATTCACATAACCATCAATTGTTCATGTGAAACGGGGAAGAAGAAAAAAACCCTTCTGACTGTATTAACAGATACCTACCAGCCCTGGCAATATGAATCTCACGATGCATTATTTATACCTATACAGGAGGTCACCAGCAGCAAATCAACCACCAGTCTCCAGGGTTAACATTCAGGGTACGTATTCTGTTGAATGAACAGTGTTTAAGTGGCAATAATTTTTTATTTTAATAAACAGTTAACAGTACTATTGATTCCATTAAAACCCATTAGAGATATAATATTTCAATCATCAGGGCTAGGTACATTTACAGCATAGAGCAAATCTGTGTCATAATTGTACAGAATATAATCAGAACTGCAGTGCTTCCCCCTTGTTTCTTTGTATTTGTTCTGGTCATTCATGAGAGGTGGATAGAAAACTATTTGACAATTTTATCACTGTAACCCGAGTGGGTAATCCAGGAGAAGCACTTTTTTAAAAATGTGCAATGGTTTGTGTCTAAGAAGATTGTTATTGTGGAAAGGTTAGTGGCTGTCCATTGAGAAAACTGGATATAGAGAATCCAGCAGATGGCAAGATATGCATGCAACACTTTAGCTGGAAGAAGGGGGAAACAGTAATAGAAAAGCAGAGATATAGGAAAAGATTCAGTGATGTAATGTGTGGTGGCTTTACACTTGATTTGTGACCAGCCTGGTTATACAACTTTACATAGAGACTTCTGTAGCAGAGTGATGCATTTCACTGTCTTAAATTCTTTGTGCAGATACAGCAGGGGTCACTAACTTTTGGGGGCACTTTTGCAAACAGAAGAAACTCATGGACAGAACACACATCCTGCAACTAAACACGCAGAGCAACCCATTCCATTGGCTCCAATGCTTCTTTGAAGCCTAATTTGAGCAGGGGAAAGGGGGTCATGTGGACAACAGGGAAGGCTTCTGCAGCTATAGGTGCACCACCAGGCAACAAGTTGGTGACCCCATGTTGGCTGTACCTAACTGTTGGCAGTGTGTTCTTAAGCTGAAATACTGTATTGCATTTCATTAATCATTCATAAGTTGTCTTGGACGATGAAAAAGCCTTTTCAAAGTTCATGCAGCAGGCCTACTCATAACTGTATATGCCTTCTTGGGCCATGCAAGAGCCCTAAGCATAAGCCTGCGTTCAAGAAACCCTTAGTGAGTTAGGGACTTTCCCTACATGCAAAGACAGGCTCTGGCGGATTGAGTGGACAAGACCATTAGTGGGTCCCAACGGTCAATAAGGCAGTTTTCTGCACATGCTGTAGGGGGAAGTGGAGGGCAGATGGGTCTCGTCAATCTGGGAAGGTAGCCCATCTAGGAGAAGGAAAACTCTGATCCTAAACCTCTGCTGCCTTGTGGGGTATCTTTGGGAGTGGAGTCCCTAAGATGATTGGATGGACCTTGTATGCTTCCTTCCAGCAACTCTTGCAGCCAAGCTGGTGCCAAACATAATTGCTCTGCTTTCCTTTGGGCCACATCAGTGAGGCCGGGGGGGGGGGGTCTTGTCATCTGGGCAGCCCAGGACCTCTATACACACTACCCAGGCTTGTGCCCTGGAGAAGTCACTTCACTGCTGCTAACACAGCGGTTTGACTTCAGCCCTGGAGGCACTCTCCATTGTCTCTTGAGACAGATGGCTGCTAACAAGAACAGCAAAAACCCTTTACTGATGACAAGTGCTGGGATATTGATGACAAGTGCTATGCCTTGCTGTCTTCTTGCGCAAGAGGCATCAGCTGGAACCAATAATACTACTACCAAGCTCAAAGATAGCTTCTCTTAACAATTCTAGAAATTACTCATGGTTTTTGTCACTCATCCTTTTGTTCCTTCCAACTTCCCTCATAGGACACATTGACATTGGCATTGGTCACCATCATCTCAGCTCTTTATACATGCCAGTACTCACTTCATGCTTCCAGGACACAAGACTGCCAGTCCTGGCCCCAGCTCTGTTTGCTGTACAACTTTACCACTATGCTTCTAAAGCCAACACTTTGTTCAGCAATTCCTCTGCATGATTGGGCTCCCATCAATACCATGCCTTGATATTTGGATAATGCATCTAATGACAACATATGTTCTTATGTTCCAATGGTACATAAGCAAATCCATACTTTTTTAAATGTTTAGTTTACTCTAAAAGGAGGGGAGAGGAAATGATGCCCGAATTTAGGAAGTGTGATTAATTTGGAAACAGATGGCCATTTAGAATCCCAGACAGCAACCATTAAACTTAATAAGAGAGTTTCTGTTCGTTTGGATAAATGTAACATATTTCTTGGCAGCTTTCAGAAAAAATAAAGACTAGAGATCAAGAAGTTAAATACTTTTTTCAGTAGGGTCAGCAAGATATATATAAATAATTCTTCTGGCTTCTGTTTCATGCTATGGCAGAGTAAATTATTTTATCCAACAAAAGACTATCGTCTCTGTAGGGGTTCTTTTGACACTTTCGGGTTGTTTGAGAAACAAGGAGCACTGTTGTTTGCCATTTTCTGTTGTGATTTTCTTGCGGGGGGCGGGTATTGCATCATCCTCAAACTGAAACAGCAATCTTTTACCACTGAAAAATGCAGTTCAATCCTCAGATGATCATTCATGCCTTAGCAATGGTTGTATGGCATTTGACTGCTCAGGTATAACAATACTGAATATTGCTTGTGTAATCATGAGTGAAGAAGCTCCCAGTTCTTCCACGCACCCCAAATGCCAACACAACGTTACTTTTTATCATTTCACAAGTATTCCTTTGAATGACAATAATTTCACATATGGTCTTTTTTGTTTCTGCTTTCTTTTAAAATGGAAATATCAATCAAAGGATCCCCTTAAAGATCCCTGCTACACATATCTGGTCAAAATGTTGATATTTAGTCACAGGGAGAAGAAAAAAAATACAAATAATAGAAACAGTTCTATGCCTGGTGAAAACAATACACACCAGGTTATAATTCCCTAGTGTGTCAACCCATGTGGCTTGTGACTATAAAAATTCAGGCTGTGATAATCATGAAAACATTCTTGGACTCTTCAAAATATTTTCCCAATTATAAGTCCTAAGATTTAATCCTAGTCAGTAGTTTAAAGAGATAATATTGATCTTTGCATACCTTTTCCCCCCTGAATGCTGTCCACTGTGTTCATAGCAATTTCAGAATTTCACATGTCCTTAAGCACTAGTTCAATATATGCATTCATCTACTTTGGGGTTGTTTCCAACAAGGTCACCCCATTTGTGCAAGGACTTCCACTCTTCCCCCTGTGTGCCTCCATAATCTGTTCTGGGGGTTCTTCTGATCCCCGGAGCACATATGGAATGGGTATGGAGCATGAACACAGGAGGGAGAGGAATTTGCATTGTGCAAGCAAAAAATCCTTGTGCAAAAAGGACATCTTGGTTGGATACGACCATGTCTCTTTATATTAATTGCACTAATTTGGTTCTCTTTTTTTTTTAAAGTGCAAACTACACTATAGATTACTTTGCTTTTAAGTTTTATGGTTTAGTGGAGATACATGTTTACCGTGTCCATTATTTCAAACAATATACTTATAGAGTAGGGATGTGGAACTCCCATCAGCCCCAGAACATGGCCAGTGGTCAGGAATCATGTAGTCCAGCAACATCTGCAGGGTCAGTTTCCCCATGCCTGTAACAAACTAGGTGCAAATTTGTTTTTATTTTGTCCAAGTGCCTAAGAAAGATGCACAGATATTTAAAGTATACGAGTGGTGCTTCCTAGCAGATCAATGTTATTTTCCATCACGGGTTGCTTCTCTTGTTAACAAGGCTAGGTACTCCCTTCACATCATCATAGAAGACACACAATCAACTAACATCAGTTGAATCAGAGGAGATTGTTCTCTTTGCTTTAGAAGTGTGACTTGTATCCTGTTGTGAGAAGCACAAAATGCTTAAAGCCAGCTGACAAGTGTAATGTTCCTTGATGAAGGAGGCAGACCTCGTTCAGCATTTGCACTGGAAATGAACACAACACATTTCTTGGCACTAAATAGAATTTCCAGAACTTGGCAAGCAAGCGGCAATTCTTCACTCATTATGTTTTCTTAAAAGATTATACAAGGAGTTTCTTTGCCCCACAGCAGAGCATAGAATTGTAGAATTATGGAATTGTAGAATTTGAAGGGACCACAAAGATAAATCTAGCCCAACGCCCTGCAATGCAGGAATCTTTTGCCCAATGTGAGGCTTGAACCCACGACCCTGAGAGGAAGAGTCACACGCTCTACCGACTGAGCCATCCCTCGGACAGGACATAGTAATATTCACCACAGATATAATGTTCAGTGCATTTTTAATATTGAAAATGCCTCATGCACATCATGACAGAAAACTTTATGGCAACCCTGTAAGGTAGGCCTTTGCTAATATCTCCATTTTGCCAGTGGGGAGCTGAGGCAGAAAAAATACTGGCTTGCTTATGCCTACTCAGTGAGCTTGTGGCTCAGGCAGGATTTGAACTGGAGTTTTCCCAGCTCACATTCTGTTACTACACTATACTATCATGAATGATTACTAATTTAATGTTCTTTTAAACAGCTGTCCAGTCTTGTCATGAGATGTTTTCCTTAGTCTTAAAGCCACAGAGAGGACGAATAACATGCATTAGGAATACACCCTGTGCTTTGTCCTAAAATCCAGCCAGATTTCCCCCCCCCCTTTAATTTTGTTGTAATTACAGACCACAGGAACACACAGAACTGTTTTCACAAATTAAAAAGACTCTTAAGGGGTCAAAAAGGCAAGTATTTGACAAATAAATAAATCTAGTTTGTGGGAACATCTGTTCTGCAACTGTGTGAAAAACTTTTAGTTCAAGGCAACAGTAATATAATAGATATTGTTACTGATCCAAGTTGCTGTACCACAGCCCTTGGCAGCAAAAATATATATGCAAAAATGTACCACTGCATTCATACAGTTACATGCTGCTTCCATGCTGTTAATGCTTCTGAGAAGTTGCGGTTCCACTATCAGCTGGAAGCAGTCTCATGCAATGACAGCCTCAGATGCATATGGGAATACAGTGATACCTCGGGTTACAGATGCTTCAGGTTACAGATGCTTCAGGTTACAGACTCCGCTAACCCAGAAATAGTACCTTGGGTTAAGAACCTTTCTTCAAGATGAGAACAGAAATCGCACGGCGGCAGTGGGAGGCCCCATTAGTTAAAGTGGTACTTCAGGTTAAGAACAGTTTCAGGTTAAGAACTGACCTCCAGAACGAATTAAGTTCTTAACCCGAGGTATCACTGTAGATGCATGGGGCATATTCATTATAGCTGAGTGGTAGTAACATGATGTAGCATTTCTTCTATATGTTTTTTCAGCCATTCTCCAGCAGCTAGTGAGAAAAGAAATTGTATTCAAAAAAACAATCAAAGGCAAAAGAAACTTGCAGTGAAATTATCGTGGATGAGTTGTGGGTTTTTGTCATGCTTGCCTTACTTTTGCGGTGGCCAAGAAGGAATGGTGAGTGACCTTTCATTCTTCAAATCATCTCGCTAGTGGTCTGACTTTGCTGCCTCTGGGTGCCTGCACTTAATCAAAGCCCAGGAGAAGACTTCCTTCCAGAGGGCTTTTTCAGCGCAGGAAGTACAGCAGCCAGAGACACGCTGCAGAGTCCTGGAGAAATGTTTACTGGAAAGACAAACAGATATACTATCCTTGGCCACCTTGCAGGAATAAGGTAAGCTCAAAACCCACAGAAATTCTGAGCTGCCTGGACAATGAGGTAGAAAAAATGGAAGCCTCTTTTGCATATGAAGAACGATTTTGAGAAATTGAACAGGACAGATTTCAGCACAGTACTGCTGAGCATTTTGGAATCTCTCCTTGCCTTGAAATGACCTGTTCTACACATCATTGCCTGCCAAGAACACTGGAACTTATAGTCAAGCGTTATTTGCCCTCCACCAGGCAAATACACATTTTTTTCCTCAAGTGTGGGGCCTGGCAAGGAAGCATGGGGAAGAAACATAGGTCAGTGGTTGAGCAAATGCTTTGTGTGCAAAAGATTGCAGGTTTCATCCACGACACCACCTTGTATGACTAGGAAAGACCTGTATCTCAAATTCTGGGAGATGCTGGATGTCACTGTAGACAATAATGAACTAGGTAAACCAAGGTATAATGCACTTTCCTTTGTTATAGTTGAACAGTTTATGATTTTAAGTCTCTCTCACACACACAATCCATCAAGGTATTCCAAATGTTTGAAACTTAAACCATGCCATGAGTCTGGAGAAATGGTGGAGCTCAGGTGAAACGGACAAGGAGTGGGGAAAAGACTTAGCATCCGTGCTTTTTTTTAAAAAGGAGTATGTTTACCTGTGAAAATACTAAATCAATTTTGACATTTCATACAAATGGACAAGCAAACTCTTTAATCTTTAAACATCAACATTGCTGTGGAAAGAAAAATGAAAGTTTAGGATAGTTCTAAATCCTCAGTCCCGCATCACTGTCTTGTGAGTATTGGAGTGATCGTTCTGTGATATTTTGGCAGTAGACAAAGCTGTAATGTAACTTTTGTATTAATGTTTGTTTAAAGAAGGGGATTGTTCTAAATAAACAAATTAGGTATAAATGTTTTACTTGAACTGAAAGCTAAATTATCTTCAAGACCACCCTGAGATGAATTATTTTACAGATTAAATCGGCATCTCCAGTATGATTTCCTGTCCGCGAGCCTCACTGAACACAGTGGAGTTCTTACTTCTGAGTAGACATATATAATATTGGACTGTGCAGGTATTACTTGAGTCTGATGGGGCTGTAGCATAATTTTTAAAGGATGAAATCATTTTATTATGACAGTGAATTGTTGCAGAAACAGATTGAGGGTGGGGAGGGAGAGAGACAAAAAGAGAAAGCTCCTCAAGTGTTTTCAAAAGAAAATAAATGCAGCATGATAATGAATTACATGCCCAACAGTACAAAATCTGGCTTTTATGCTTTGCAACATTAGCTTGTGGATGTGTGCAACAAATTGCATAGTTTCCCAAGGCTCATGGGATTTAAGTATAGTAAAAGCTCTGCTGTTACGAGCAGGTGTGAAATGGTGTTTTTCCTTTATTACTGCATCAGCTGGCCTTTTCTTAAACTCCTTACATGCCTTTACATGAACAATCAAATGTACTTTTTTATATGGGTGTCTTCTTGTGCATGAAAGTCCAAAGAAAAAGATAAATGGCTAGGTTGTAAATTATCTAAAATAGCATCGTAACCAAATTGTACAACTATTTTGAGAACTTTTTATTTTAATCCATATAGATTATGGATGTGCATATAGTAAATGAGCTGCGGGAATTTGCCATCATAGCCCCAAATCTCATGACAATCTCTGAGGATTTTCTCACCTAGCTCAGGGTATGCATACTGATGCTTTGGGATATAGACTCTAATTCATGCACCTACTCAGTTATGCAGGATAAAATACTATAACTGTTTGTCATATATCACTTGCAGAGTACTTCATAGTCTTCATTGTGGTTTTCTTGCACAATAACCTTATGAGGTAGGCACAAAGGAATCATGGTAGAGCAGTGATTTCCCTAAGGCCACAAAATGAGTCTGTGTAGGATTTGAACCCAAAGCTCTCAGACCCATATACTCCTCACTGTATCCTGGTAGGTCTAAACTGAAGCCATTTAAGTTGACCTTTAGTAATAGGACAGCTCTATACTAGGAATACAGGGATATAAAATTACTGCCTTTGTGACAAAAAGACTTTAAAGATCAGAAGTTACGTTACTTCTATGAAAACCAGTTCAGATGCAAAAAATAAAAAATAAAAATGTTAATATAGAATTTATAGTAGGGTGGTTTCATGCTAAATATCTAAATTTAACACATACTTGAAAATGGCTAGTATCACCATCACATAAGTAAGGAGGGATAGAAGCAAGCCAGGATTAATCATGTAAGTAACACAGACTTCAACAGGAAAGGTTTTTTTTTGGTTGTGGTTTTTTTTTACCAACAACCAAAACACAAACAGTGAAAACCCCCAGGTGGCTGATACATTGGGTATACATAAACAATAATAACATATTCAAATCAACCATATGTACAATTCTATATACCTTAACACTCCTCCCTCCACAAGGTTTATTTAACTTTTAACATTTTAATTGCCCCAAATTGTTCAAACCTGCCCAAATAAGTCAATATTTTCTCAAACCAATCCTCCTCCTTCTCACTGACCTGAAACCCTTTCATTTTATGTATCTCCACAGTTAGATATTCTAAGATTATAATATTTTTCTATTTTTCCCTCCATTGGTTCACCCCTAGCTCTTCTGCATTTTTCCAATTACTCGCTATAACCTGTCTGGCTGCAATTACCATCAATTTTACCCATTTACATTCCTCTTTTGTTTCTAACTCGGTGCTACTCAGGCTAATAAGAACCATTAATTTAGATATTTCCACCTTCCTACCCAGAATTCCCGATTCAACAGGAAAGTTAAGCATGTGCTACTGAAATGTCTGGGCTTGCACAACAATCCTAAACATGACTACTCAGAGGTGAGTCTGTCTGATAAAGTTCAGAGGGGGTCACTTTCCAATAAATGGGTGGTAAAGATAGGAAACTGCCTTATACCAGCTTAAACTATTAGTCCATCTTGCTCACTATTGTATATATACTTACTGGCATCAGCTGTTCAGGGTTCCAGACAAGTCTCTGCTATTTCTTTGTGAAAATGCCAGGTTTGGAACCCAGGATCTTTTGCATGAAAAGCATGGCCTCTTCCATTGAGCTATGGTCCTTCCTCGGCTTTAAAAGAATTTAGACTGGCTAGATTACACTGTGTGTTTTTGAAAACACAACACAGTAGATTCCTACTGGTAGAAATCTAAATTAGGAAACTCAATGGTGCCTCTCAATTGTTTTGTTTTTAATGTGAAAGCTTTTTAAAAAATTAAAAAGCAAATTTCTAATGAAGCTTGATGTTGCAGATAGCTGGGAACAGCCAACAAGAAAAGCTGTCATTTTGCATTGTAAATGAAAATATTGCGATCTTTAAAATATACATAAAGTCTGCTGGAGAAAATGAAGAATAGTTCTTTTGTCAGATAATACTTAAACTCACCCCACCCCACCCCAAATTAACTGACTAGTGTCCAATGATCCTGGCTACAATAGTGGCTTCATTTCCTGCACTGCAAGGCTAGTTCATTCCCACAGAGAATCCACTTCTCATTTTCCCATTGCTTAGAAATACACACCCCCTGAAAGTTGGAATCATGCATCTTACTAAGTATTTCAGTTATGCTATTGACGTCAATGCAGTCATTAAATAGATTGCTGGCCCTCCCAACAGTAAGCTTGTGCCAAAGACCTAGAGGCAGACACGTTTTAAAAGAAGAACATCAGGTTTTCTTTTTAGAAGTTCAGAAAAATACGAGGCAGCGTTTCTCCCTTCACGTCCCTCTGCTTCACAATCCCTCTTACGTCTTTTAGAAAATTTCGTTGCTTTTCATTGTTGGTAGATTCGCTCAGGGGTTGCCATTCTGTTACTATGTACATAAACAACCTTAAATGAGAGACTTAAAGAGTAGTTTCTTGTGATCAGCTCCGACTGAAAAGCGACGCTAATTTTACGTTCTTGTAGATGGATTTGCTTACATATATCATGTAACATTAAGTCAGCCAAACCTTTTTAGCCTTTGACTCCAGACGTTCTTCAAGGATTGATTTCATGGAGTCTATTAAAAAATCGCTGCCATTTCTCCTCAGCGAGCCTCCTGTGGGCTCTGAAGATGTGTAAGCCAATCACGGTTCCATAGCAACCGATGTAAACTGTTCCCTGTCACCCACACCTGTGGACTCTCATGTTAGGCATTCCACACGTGCTACACCCATCATGCCCTCAGCCATTCCACCCAGTCCAACTGCCATCTATGGCAGCTGAGCAAGCAACAGTGATGTCAGTGGGACTCCCCGAGCGTAGCCAAGGAACCCTTCTGAGGTTCCAGAGGGGAGGAGGGGAGGCAAGCGCTCTTCCAAGACGAGAGTGACTGACAGATTCATTCATTATGTTAACCAGGGCAATACATACATCCTAGAGCTGCCTGCCCCATCCTCTTTAGATACACAGTGCAGGATATGCAGCTGTCCCAGACAGAATGGATCTGACAGGCAAGAGTTTTCTTTAAAAGGCCTTTTAGAGCTCCACAACGGAGGATTATATGGCACCCTTAAACATGTGGTGGACGACCTTACCTTTTGATGGAACAATCAGGTATGTTTTACAACGAAAGCACTAGAATTGTTTTCTAGCGATTTGTAGGTAATCGAGCCTCTGCTTTATTGCCATTTGCCCTTCCTTATTGCTCCCTGCTTTTTTCAGTCTGTTAGGAAGATTCCTCCATGTAGCAAAGCCAAGTTCCTTTCATAATGTGCTCCAATGTAAACAGGAGGGCTCCAGCATCACTTCATACTACATTTCTTAAAAAACCCACCGAGCTGAATTCTGAGTTTTGTATACCATATGCAGACAGACTCAACCTTGAAGAAAAGAGTCTGTCTGAAAGTGAAGGCCTGGGTTAATTAAATGTGCTTTATTGAGAGTGGTGATAGCTTTTATACAGTGACGTGTTTCCCCCCAAAACTGACATTTCTTGTCTCGAGGTGATTTCAGGCCTCCAATTTACTTACTTACTAACTTGCATCTATACATTTCCATGTCCAAATGAGAACTTCATTGGACTCTTGTCACCTGGGGCTGATTCAGAGCAGTGATCCTTTGAGCCATCCCAGCAACCTATCATCCTGGCCTCACAGATTGCCAGCTAGGAATGGGAAGGGTGAAATTTAGGAGCCTCAAAATAAAAGAAGGGGTGCATATCAACAGTGTGTCTGTAAGGAAGGATTTGCACATGCCAGATATTTAATAAAGCAAATTTTTAAGTTGTGTGAAATCAAATTCAAAATACTATGTGTATATAAACTTCTGAAGCTGAGTTTTAGAGAATGAGAACTACTGCTGATGACTCATTCAAGCACTGGGAAAGTAGGTTGTAATGATTAGTCAAAGTTCTTTCTTTAACTCTTGCTGTTATGGGCCATATCCCATGCCTTCAGTTTTCCTAGCTCCTTCTGATGTCAGCACCAGTCTGGAAAACCTGGGACACGGCTAGAATCCATTATTGCATTATATGATTATGAGGGCATGAAAAGTTTACTTCTGATGCTACCATTCGCTACAGAAGAAGACTAAAAGTAGTGCCTACATGTACTACTTGAGTTGAATTTTTATTTTTATTTAATTTGTTTTCAATTTTATATTTAAATTTAAATTCCATAAGGACTCCTGAGCCACTTTATGCAGTAAGTTACATTAAAACCATATCTAACAATAAAAAGCAACAATAAAGACAGCATAAGCAAAATCAGTTAAGTGGATATAGCATTAGGAACAACTACGTATATAAATCCACCAGATATTTTGCTAACACCCAGAAACTATAGATTAGAATTTTTAAGTGTCTCTTGGATGACAGTTCACCTTATTTTTTCAAACTTTAATTTGAAAGGCAGACTTGCTGTTTTTGCTTTACCCTGTGGAAAATAGGTTCATGCTATTATCTATGCGGTTATTAATCCCTGTGAACTAAACAAATAATACAGTGGTTTAGCTAGGTAATTTGAGATGAGGGGGCTTTAGCTGGTCATGTAAAATTTTTCTCTCTCCCACTGCTATTCCATATTTTAAAAACTTCTAGATTCCTGATTATCTGTGTGGGTGGCTATTTGAGAGAGAGAGAGAGAAATTTCCAATCTTTTTAAAAAATAATAACAACTTGGAACATGTACAATTTAGCATTTTAAACTCACTTAAGTGTCATTGTATAATCATGACTGCTTTGTTGATTCCAAACACATTTACTTTGGAAGAAGGACAATTTTGTTGTAGAAACAGATAATAGATTCCAAAAGTAAAAATAATAAAATGAGCATCTTTAACCATATATATATATATATATATATGAGAAAAACATCTCTAGATTGGTGTTTTATTGTGGGCATCTTCTGCAACATGTTCTTTACATAATAATAGTAGTGGATTTATTCTGCTTTAGAAGTTGTTCTGTGATGCTCCTCCAATGTTACCACATTATTGATGTCTGGAGGAGCTATTGCACAAGGAAAGCAGGACAAAAATAAAGTAAAATGACTGTGGTATGAAAAAGTAGCAGGATATGCAGTGGCTGAAAGTGAAGCAGTGTGACCACCTCAGAACTTATGTAGGTGCGAACTGTATCAAAAGCGGGATTGCACCTGACCTTCCCAGTAGCATCATGAGCACAAGTCATCATGGATGTGGACGCACAACAGTGTTTGTGAAACAATAAACATACAAGACAACTCCAGCATGGCCATGTTGGCCCAGGTGTTGATGTGGGGTGCTTTGCTAGTGCCCTCATCACCTTCCATTCTCAGAATTGTCAAGGTGGAACTGTGAGGCCCTGGACCTCAGCCTCTTGTTTGAGCCCTAACTGCACCATTGACGTAATGTATGGAATACTGCACCAAGTTCATTCCTCACTAGTTAGCAAATCTTAGAAGAGTCTGTTCTTAAGAATGAGTCACTCAGGCTCCCGTAGTTAACAGTGCCGCCCACCACAGTCTTGGGCAGATTTACTCAGGAGCAACTTCGGCTGTATCCTGTGGGGTTTATTCTAAAGCACGTTTAGAATTGCAACCTTACAGAGCAATCCTAGCAGTTGGGTGTGTTGTTGTTTTTTAATTGATCTTTAAATTGCATTATATGGCTGACATGTTGTGACTCTTAAATAGCAAATTGTCACCAAGGGTCAAGATTCCAGGGCAGGCATAAAGTTCTCATGGGCTGTTTGCTATTCGAAGAAAGTAAAGAAGTCTTAGGTAACTGGAAATGTTAAAATAACTTTAAATAAGCAATGAGAAACAAGATCCAGTATTTTTGTCTAGGTTTTTTTTTTAAAAAAAAAAACAAATCCTTTAAAAACCCCACCATTATATTACAGCATATTATTAACATTTATATGAAACTACTAGATGATGTTGCCTATTTCTCCACTATGTGAAGGTGATTGTTGGATGGGTTGAGTGTATGTACCAGCCTTAACCTGTAGAGTTTTCTGAGTTGCCACTAAGCCCAATAAGAAAGAAAAAAAAGTTAAACAACCCAGTTAAACTAATTAAAAATTAAATAACTGAAGGAGGGTTCTTCTAGTTCCTGTTCATCCCTCTTCCTCTCTGATTTAGTTGGCAATAGATTATTTTTAAAACTGATTTCACCACAAGAGAAAATGAATTTCATTAAAAATGCATCAAAACCACAGGCATTAAACCACAGTTTTGTTAGTCAAGGATGGTTAAATTGCTAAAAAGTGATTTTAGAAACATTCTTAGGTCTATTAGCAGACTTTTATTTTTAAGGATTTTTTTTTCTGAGCTGCTGATTATGGATGATTCCATTGTGTACAGAATTACAGTGTTTCAGCAAGCTTTCGTGCATGTAACAAACAATAATGATGAGAGAAAACTCTGAGAACATTGTCATTATTTTATCATGTGTGCGCCAGAAAATGCAGGTGTTTAACATGCAAGAAATAGATTTCTCATACGCACTCAGAAGCTTATTTTGATGCATAAAATAAATGCTTGAGGTTTCATTCTTCATTTAATCCGCGTACAACCTATGAGCGGACCTAAATAAAGATGTGGATTATCAAGACATATTTTCATAGAAACAGAGGCCAGTGGATAAGTAGCAAGTTATTGACAACATCTCATGAACATTCATATTTGCTAATTGCCTCCAGCCTGGGACAGGGACTCAAAGTGGCTTACAGCTATAAAATAAACAGCTAAAAACATAGGGGGAAAGAAATCATCAAAGAAAATAAAAGTAAACATTAAAACATACACATTATTACAATAAAACATCACAGTACCAGCCCTTTCCTTAAAAGCGGTCAGTTCCCAAAGCCTGTTGGAACAAGAAAGTCCACTCCTACTAGTGGAAGGACAACAAGGAGGGAGCCGGTCTAATTTTGGCTGAGAGCCCAGGAAGACCTGTTCCCTGCCTTGCTGGCCTTCTCCTACCTGGCCTGGGAGGAAAGGAGACTGCCTGCCTGCCTTCAGCTACGAAAGCTGCTGAACAGGCTCTTTGGCTGTGGTATTGTTTAGAGCTTTTGGTTGGGGTTTATTGCTGCTGTTATTGATACTGATATTATTTTTGTACCTTTTTTTTTTTTAGATCCATCATATGATTTATGTGGCTATTGTTTCCATTTGGTTGTGTACTTTTTGGTATGTTTTATCTATTTTTGTTATGTTTGTAATGATGTTACTCTTGTTGCAAGCCACTTGAGCATGGTTATAGCTATGGAAAGGCGACATACAAATAAAATGATGATGATGATGATGATGATGATTGACGGCAATTTCTCTAGGAAAGGAGTTCCAAAATCTGGGAGCACCTACCAAGAAGGCCTTCTCCTGCATCACTATCAAGTGTGCCTGTAAGGGGGTCAGGACTAAGAGATTCATAAAAATGAAACCAGATTCATAAAAATCAGTGGACTTTTTAACATAATTAAAATATATTTTACCCTATTTGCTTTGTTTCATATACTGCCTTAGTCAGGGATTGTTATGTCATCTTTCCATAAGCATTTCTAAATGGATTGACAAAGGGACTTGAAACATTGTGATAAGGAAGCAAGGACGTTTTGAATTTTGCCCACAAAGTATTAATGCCTCAGCCTAGTTCTTTATCCTGGCAATGAGTTCTGCCAAGAGCCAAATGCAGGAAACAATGTACTGAGGCTGCCACAAATCAGAAAGAAAAGTGACAGCACTTGTATGGTGCCAAATGGAAGTAGCAAAATGCAGGAAACATTTTGTCAAATGTCACTTAGCAATGATATCATAAGGGGAATCAAGGAATGGGATTTGCCTGCATACTAGAAATACCACAGTCAATGGATATGTAGAAGCAGAAATAGCCAAGACTACAGAGACTTATCTTCGGACATTGAATGAAAACGAAAGATTACACAGATCTCTCTCCCAGAGCAAATGGTTGATTCATCGCATTATCATTTTACTGCCTTGGCTTAGTTCTTCAGCACCCAGCTGAATTCTTGTGTATGTTCATGAATCATGGAGGAAATGATGAATTGCTTGTCTGTCAATTCTAACAAAAAGTTAGAACATTGAGGAATAACTCTGCAGGTTAACAAGTGCATCTTTTGGGATAACATTTCAAAATGAAGTAAATTGCTTTAAAATATATAAAGAAAACAGAATTAGCGGAGGAGAGAGTAAATGGTTATTAAAGTAAAACAATATATTCGAATCAGGCTAAGTATTAATTTATTGGAACTCAAAGATAACAGCATGGATCAGACAACTGAAATAGTTGATTGCCAAGACCTCAGAGCTCTGCTGGCTCCTATTGATTCTATAAGGCTTTCGTCCCGCCTCCAGCTGTAGGTGTAGTTCTTACATCAAATTGTGATCGCTGATAGTATAACTTCTTTTTGCTTGGTGGTGTCAGGTCCTTTTGCAAAAACATTGCTCTGCAGTTGGACTTTGTCATAGGCTTCCACTGAAGTGCCGTGTACATCAGCTGAGTTATGGTCTTCCTAGATTTTCAGAGTTGTGTCATCTACTTTTGAAAAAGCTCAGAAGCATTTGTAATCCCAGGTGGCAAGATTTCGAAGAATATTTGGTTTATCCAAGGTGCTTGTCAAAAACCTACTTGGAGCACTGAGGCACAGCCTTGCCTGTCTCAGATTTAATAGAAAAATAGAGCTGGGTGTTGTCAACATACTGATGACATTGCGCCCCAGACTTCCTGATGATGGTTCCTAGTGATTTTGTATAGATGGTAAATGGGGACAAAATACTGCCCTGCATGATGAACACAAGCTGCTCCTCATTCTAACTTGTTTGTATGGAAAAGCATAAAAGATTTAATAGGTGACCCACTAGGCTGTGTAAAAGCAGTTTTAGCTTATGCTGGTTGAGGAGTTTTGGAATCCCTCGTAAACCTCCTCATAAATAAGTATTACATCAGCTTCTGCATCTATTTTGAAATTAAGGATTGTCCCACAAATAACTAAGTTTACTCTCCAGGGTGGGATGATGTCTTTACAAAATATGGAGTCTAAGAAAAACTAGCTGCCCGCTACCATTAGATATGCTATACATTTTGGCGACTAATTAGGCGTGAACTTTCATACATATCAATTACACATACTCATTACTGCAGGTAAATTCCCCTGCAAGGCAATTACTATGTGGAAGATATTTGACAGGAACCGCAGGGACTTCCTCTATTGGGAGTATCCTTAGCTTGAACCACTGTAGCTTCCTCTATTATTTCCTTGCAGTGTCACCATGCTTGTTGTTCAGAACAAAACCAAAACGAAATACACGATTCATGCAGAGTTCCAGCTGAACCAAGCTCCTTGGTATCTTTGGGCAAACCCCTTGTAATATTGAGCTGATGGTAGAATCTTGAGAAATGGTAGTTCCCCCCTTTCCCCCCCTCTTTTTTTAAAAAAATGATATTTATTAAGGATTTTAAAATTACAGAAAAAACAAAAAATAAAAAGAAAGGGGAAAAAACAAAGGAAAAACAAACCACAATCCAACAATACAAATTGATAAAAATCAAAATCAAAAAATAACAACAAAACACATAACAGAGCACAATCAAAAAGTAAAAATAAGCCACAAAAATTTAAAAGCAAATCCAGTATTCTCAAATCCTTAACTGTCATTGCCTTCTTTCATTGACCTCCTCACTCCTCCCTTTTGTTGTATCCTAGTTGTTAATTGTCACAGCAAATCCTTTCCATATTTCATAATATTCTGTCATTACATTACCTTAATCTATTTTAATCTTATCTTACTATAAAAGACCTTAAAGCTTAAAGCTTAGATCTTATTTATACTAATTTCTCCTAACCATAATATTCTTACATAATTCTTTAAACATTTTTGCTAAAGCCAAATAATTTCATTCCAACATTTTTCTAACATTCATCAATTTTATAAAACAATCCTAATAAAAAAAATTTTTTTTCTTCCAATCTTCATCCAGCGTCTTTTCCTCCTGGTCCCAGGTTTTGTCAGTCCTTTCTATCCCATCAATCTAGCGCATTAACCTGGTAATCTTATGTCCGAGGCCCTTAAGTCCCTTCCATGTCCCATCCGCAGTTCTTCTTCATATTTATACCTGTACTTTACTTTGTCTCCTGCTCCTTTCACTCGTGGGAACTCCAGCTTAACAGTGTTTTTGACCCTTCTCGACAAATCAGCCCCTTTTCCATAGTCCACACTAAACTCCATGTGGTATTTAAAAACATGTTTCAAAGTCCCTCCAGAATTAAGAGCCCGCACAACCCCAAACATCTCACGGCCCATTGCCAGACTTGAAAAGTCCAAACATCCCTGCATAGGGGGGTCTATCCAACCCCCCATTTCCAAACCAAACCAAACTTTATCTTTCCAAATCTGGCTTTTTCCAAGTTCATTTGTCAAATCCAAGAATTCATGTTCCTGCTGGGCCACAGCTCCCTCCATCTCTGGCGCCCAAGGTTCAACAGCATCCTCTTCCCTCATCTGTTCTGTCAGAGCACACTCCTGATTTGATTCCTGGGTGGGCTCTATATAGTTTCCCACTACCTGTCCAAAATTTCTGATCGCAACAGTCATCAAGTCCGTCTTCTCATGTAGCTGTTCCAGTAGGGCACTTGTTTTACAGAAAGCATGCAGCAGAGCTTCTGAGTACATTGTTCTGCAAGGTCAGAAGTCTATTCCCACGATCGTAATCTATTGCAGCTGCAAGCTCCCCGGTTCAGAATTGGTAACAGTTTCACAGGCTCCCTCTAGGGGAAGAGCTTCTATTTGTTCTTTTCTTTTAAAGGCAGATCTAACAACAAAGTTTCCTTTTTCAGATATTTTGTCAATATTTGTTCCTTTAAAATGCGAAGGGGAACAATGGAATCACTATGTTTCTCTTCTTTTAACTATCTGTCAAAGACGTTTGTCTCTGGTCAATGAGCTTCCCAAAGAACGTCAATCCTGACACCCCGCTCCAGGATCAAGATGGTGGAAAGTTACTTTGCGTTACACTCTCTTCTACAGGTTTAAACAGTCCGGAAAAAATCCCCCCTCTTCTCCTGCTTCCGAAGGGGGTTCAACAATTTTAAATGATGAAAGTTAATCCTTTACAGGCGATTTTCTGAACTCTAGTTTGCCATGTCTTTGCTTTAATCTATCTACAAGAAACGGAAGGCTGACTTCCTGTTTAGACCTTCCCGTTTCAGTGCCAAATTGAGGCAAATTTCTTAGTCCAATTTTCCTTTCTACTCGCAAATCATTATTTGAAGTCCAATTATCCGAAATTTAAGTACTCATGGGTAATTGTTTTAAAAGCCAAATTGTCCCAGGAAAAAGGCAGTGCTCTCCGGCAACAGCTGTGCGGCTTCGCTCCACGGAAGAAGCAGTTGACTCTCAGCACCGCGCCACTTCCCCCTCTTCACTCCGGAGCCCGTTAGTGGGTTCCTTTGCGGGTTGGGGGGGCGCTAAAGGTGCCCGCCAAGTCCCATGGTCACAGGCTTCATCCGCCTGTGATTTTTGAAAGGGTCCCCGCTTCGCCGTAGCAGGAAAGACCCGTTTCCCGTGGAGCTGGTCCCTCCGGATCAGAGGGAGTCTGCCATTACCGATGGCGCCACCCTGGAAGTCCCCCTCCCTCCCCCCCTCTTTTTGCTGCAGAGTGCTTTTTAAAAAGTAGCTGGATTGCTTTTGGGGACTTTCACTTCGCCTGATTTTGCAGACACGAGTGAGTTTACCCTTTTCAGAATGGCTGCTGTAACTACCCCGTAGTGTTTGTGAAGCAGAGCTTACTTTTTCAAAGTCATTCCCAATTTTTCTTTGCTCCTTATTCCGAGGTTTGCACAGCTGGTTACTTTGCCATCTTTATGGCTTTGTGAAAGGTTGATCCCCCTATTAGCTCCGTCCTTTCAGGAAGCCCTTTGCTTCGAATTCCAAGCACCAATCGCTCTCTAAGGTGCTCTTCCTTTTTATTAGCAAACTCAGCCTGTTCATACAAGGCACTGACAAATGACTGCACTGGTTCCCAAGGCTTCCACACTCTTCGATAGAACTGGAGCCTTCTCAAAATCCAAAATCCTATTGGAAATGAAATGGGCATCCAACCTGGCTAGAACACTCTCCACAAAAGTAAATGATTTATATACATTGCTGGCTTCTTCCCCTATAGCATAATGATTTGCCTTTCTCCATGGAACTTTATAGCAAGGCAAAGCAAGCATGCTGCAGGATTGTTGTAGTTGAAAGCTTCTGGTGCCCTGGGATGTTTTACAGATGAAGAGCGGTATTAAAAAAAAATTGGGTGAATAAATAAAACAAGCAGATGTTCCCATTGGAACCTGCAAATCACAAGTACTTTATCTCTAAATTTATTCTGTTGGTTAAATAAATGTGGTCATAAATAGAATTTACCATATTTTATTCTCACAAGCTGCTCTCACCTCAATTCATGATGCCATCTGAATACTAGAAGATTCAGTAGCCTAAACCAGAGCACGACAACCTTGGGGTTTCTTAGCTCATAGACTCTAGTTACCAAGTGTCATCACTCTCCTTAGTCCTGTGAAAGTGTCAGGACCATTGTTTGTCTCAAAAGCAAGAGTCTGAAATGTGCAGGCATATAGGTGTCATAGCTATGGTGTGTTCTGCATGAACTGTTCTACGTATAAAAGTTTTTATGTGTTCCCTGCGCTCCTTTGCCAGGAATGGTCTCTTCCCTAATTTTGGTGGTGAAGTTGATTTTCACAAACAGTTCCTTTGTGCACATAATCAGCTCCATTCATTGAAATAAATGGCAGGATTTGTGTTTACCAAAATATCTGGATTGTGTTGCCTATTTACAACCTTTGCTGCATGTTAAAGCATTATGCAGATTGCAATACCTCTTTTCTGGAATAAGAATTGCCCATGCAGTTGGCCCCATCCACATGATTTTGCTATTAATAAGCATACCACTGCAGACTCATATCTTGTCACAAGGAAGCTTCTCCCTTCCACAACTTTATAGACTTGTCCGGGTGGAGCAGAGTGTTTGGAACATTGAACTCACAAACCAGTGTTTATTCGGAATCAAGCCACAAAATAAAATATTCAGCAAAGTATTTGTTAAATCAGCTTGGAAAATATCCAAGTAAAAGAAGCAATGGCATCGTAATTAGGCATTCCAGGCAAGGACTAAGCTAGGATCCTTAGCACTTGGATTCATTCCCAACAATGTGCATTTTAGAGCTGCGGTTTATGAAGCTTTATTTTCCCCCAAATAAGAATTATTAAATCAGTGCTATCTAATATAAATGTGCATGCGTAAAGACACAGCCTCACATACGTATTAACTGTGGAAGACCACAATTTTTTGCTTGGCTATCTACTTTCTGTTATGTTTGGACATGCCTGAATGAAATGCTACTCTTTTAACTTTGAAAGTTAAATAAAGGGTGTTCCTCGCGTTCATGTTTAATTTGGGATTAATTAACAATCAGCTGAACCCTGCCCAGATGTGTGTGCAGTCACTTGCTGTAGGTCACTATTTCTCTTTCTCAACCACATTTCTAATCTCCAACGTGACTTTCAAGCACATGGTTGTTGCTTAGTCAAATCATGCTCGGAAGTAAATAGCACTTTTTTTCTTCCACTGTAGAATGTTTTCTTCTGTGATCTCCTGGTAGGATTTTTGTGAAACTGAATATTTTGCTACAAGTCAATGCCTCTGAGTCCTGAAACACTACAGAAATATAAACTAGATTGTTTTAATAGCTGCCTGTTAGTTTTTATTAAAAAGTATTAACTTTAGCAACTAATTAGAAGTAGTGACATTAACAAAGTTTGCAAACAATGGGTTCATAATATGAATTTTCACTGTTTTTAATGCTAAGACATCCTATTTGTGTTGGATATTCTCACTCTTGAGCTTTTACTCCAGTCGTAGTTAATAACAAAGCGTATTTCAAGTTAATGTCCCATTTCTGCCTATTTGCTAACAGCATTTAGCAGACCAGACTGGCAAATCCTATAGCAGCTGTTGGTTCATGTCCAGAACTCGATTACTTTAACTCTTTACTCATTCAATATTCTGTGAAGCCATCTTTTCTATTTAATCACTGCATTATAGTCCAGTCTTAGTTGTGAGTATATGTTGGGGGTGATCTTCCAGTACAAACCCTGCCTCCTTCCCCTATGATTACTTACCAGCATTCAGTCTACTTCAACATGGGGAGGAGTTCTGGGGGGACAATGGGTGATATGCAATGCACAACTGAAATGTGTGCCAGTTCCCTACTGCCAATTCTGCTGCTACTAAAACTGTGGCTGTATCTTCCTCCTCCACATTCCCACCTGCTTTCATCCCACACTACAGTTTCCAAGTGACAAAACAAAAACTCACATGTGCCAAACCATTGTGAGCCCATTTAGCACTTTCCCCCATTGTTCATAGAAAAAGCTTATAGGGGCCCAGGTATTATTCGAGGTAAATGGTGTTTCTGCATCACTACTTAAAATTTGGTTTAGGGAAGACCCAAATCAAACTGTTACTAGAGTGCACGGATACAAAGCTGTTTACAAAATAGGTGCAGGTATTGAGATCCCCTTTCACTGTTGCCTGGTATTTGGGCTTTAAATGTTGCCATTACTGGAACTGCTACCATAAAGAAGCGTGTGGAGGCTCCTCAGATAAGCAGCTATTTTGCAAGAACAGGTTCTCAGTCACAGACAAGCCAACTCCACTTCCTCTTGCTCAGAGAATTATAAGAAATTGTGACACTGATGTGAAAGATAATACTTCCAAGGAACTTCCTCTCTTTCAAGTAACATCTTAACATGAAATGCGGCCTTCCTTAAATTATTGACTCTCTTGTAAAGCTGTATATGTACATCATTTCTCCCCTTACACAGTTGTCCTTTTTCAGGAAGACTTGAGAAAACTGCTTATGCCAAACAGTATATTTCCCCCTCTGCAGACATCTGCGGGGGGGGGGGGGGAGGAATGCTCCATAGTGGGGGATAGTGGCTTGAATCCCCACTGCCTTCTCCAAAGGAAGAAAGCAAACCACCTTGACTGCAATGTCACATATGGTGCAGGAGGTCGTGTTTTACATGGCATGACCTTGCAGCACAGATTATTTAAATCCATTGGTTTCAGTGGGTCTACTCTGAGTATGACTACTACTGGATGTCACCCAGAGAAAATAACTCTCCTGCTGTAGCCCTTTTAAGCACTTGGAATAGAACTTTATGTGAAAGCACGTGGTTCCTTTTCATTGCCTTGAGTTGGAAGGGAGGGTGAGTACTCTCTACTGCTTAGAGATTTAAAGCTGCACAGTTATCTATATCTATATCTATCTATATCTATATCTATATCTATATCTATATCTATATCTATATCTATATCTATATCTATATCTATATCTATATCTATATCTCTATACAGTGGTACCTCTGGATGCGAACGGGATCCATTCTGGAGCCCTGTTCGCATCCTGAAGTGAATGCAACCCGCGTCTGCGCGTGCACAGGTCGCGATTTGCTGCTTCCGTGCATGCGCGTGATGTCATTTTGAGCGTCTGCGCATGCACGAGCGGCGAAACCCGGAAGTAACACCTTCTGTTACTTCCAGGTCGCCGCGGAGCGCAACCCAAAAACTCTCAACCCGAAGCTACTTCAACCCGAGGTACGACTGTATCTGTATCTATATCTGTGTATGTATCCTCCAACAATATGGTGCCCACCATATTGGACAACAGCTCCTTTGCTGGCTGTGACTGATAGGAATTGTAGTCCAAGCCATTTGGAAGGCATCATGCTGATGGCTGGTATATGAATAGAATAGAATTCCCAGTTGTGTTCCTTATTTATTTCTGGCACTATTTTGGAAGACAAGTGAAATAGTTGTACCTGGAGAAGGAGGAGGAGGAGTAATAATAATAATGATGATGATGATGATGATGATGATGATGATAAATTTATTATCTATACCCCAGCCACTCTGGACGGCTTACAGCACATAAAAAATTGTAAAATGTGCATAGCTGTTATACGCAGGTAATCTCAGTGTTTTTATATATATATATATAACTGAGATACTGCAGTGACACCCTGAATGAAGATAGATATAGATTTATTGAACAGGTGCTGAGCAGTCATGGCAGCTGGTCTTTTTCTTTTCTTTTTTCCCATCTTCAGACTAATGATGCATTGTTTTGCTTCGGACTTCCTGTACCATTTCCAGCAACAATATCATGGCATTTTTGGCAGCCGGCCACCATCATTCTACACACACACACACACACACACACACACACACACTCTCACTCCTGGAATTATGCTATGTGTCAAAGCATTATACCAAGGGCATTCAAGGGAAGGGCAGAATGGTAGCCACAAGTGGCAGCCACTGAGAAAGATTCCACTGGGGCCACAGGCAGTGGCAGAAATATACATCACTTACATTGCTTAAAGTGAAAAAGAGAAACGCACCACTTGCCATCATAAGCATGCCTCATGAACCAAAAGGATTTGACCCAAAATCAATAAAATAGCCCCTCCCTAAATTTGCAACCTGCAAATGAGGTAGCGGATTTATCAGGGGGCTGTCTTTCAACTCTAAATATAATTTGAGCTTCCACAGTCCTTGCACCAGCAAACAGGTTTATGCTGGTACATAACTTTTGAGTCAACGACTATCATGGGTTTTTAGAAGTAATTTTTATGACCAAATCTGAGGTGCTTGCTACCTGTAGTCCAGACAGTTACTAAGTCCTTAAAGGTCACAAGCCTGTGTTCAAATTTACATAAACTTGCATAAACTAATGTGCTTGTATTGGTGTTTCTTGGCAAATTAAGATGGCAGGTCACTGGAGCCCCAGCCTCTTATAAGGAAACTATTTTTTCCCTATAGTTTGTTTGTTTTATTATTTTGTGAAAGGGAGAGGAGATCCATGCCCTCCTTGGGCCACATCTGCCTGTGATTCTTTGTAGGTCCCTTCAGCAGAATCCTTTATTTGTTTACTCAGAAGTAAATCTTAGTAAGTTCAACGGGACAAATTTAGCTCCATAAATTCATTTAAGATTGCAGCTTTAGAAAAGATTTTAAATAAATGCTTGTTCCCCAGATCAAATGTGCAAAGGCAGGAAAATAATGGTAGTGTACTACAGTCAAAGGGGGACACGGGTAGTGCTATGGTGTAAACCACATAGCCTAGGGCTTGCCGATCAGAAGGTCGGCGGTTCGAATCCCCGCGACGGGTGAGCTCCCGTTGCTCGGTCCCTGCTCCTGCCAACCTAGCAGTTCAAAAGCACGTCAAGTGCAAGTAGATAAATAAGTATCGCTCCGGCGGAAAGGTAAACGACGTTTCCGTGCGCTGCTCTGGTTTCGCCAGAAGCAGCTTAGTCTTGCTGGCCACATGACCCGGAAAAACTGTCTGCGGACAAACATTGGCTCCCTCAGCCAGCAAAGTAAGAGTCGTTCGTGACTGGATTTAACTGTCAGGGGTCCTTTACCTTTACCTTTACCTTACTACAGTCAAATTTTAAATCCCTTCTGGAAATCCAGTTCAGAATTTCCTTGTGTCTTTGGCATGAACTAAAGGGGAGTTTAAAGTTGGTTAAAAGAAGCAGGATTTCCATTTTGCCAGTTTAAATAAAAATCCAGTATTTCTGTGGTTTCCTGTTAAGAGACATTTCATTGAACACCTAATTTAATAGATACGGATTTAACAACAAGAAAAATCCCTCTCTTTTAATGCAAACGATCTTTCTGAGGAGAGGATTATCACAGCTGCAGAAGTTCAGGGAGTTTACTTCCAGTTATTTTTTCCTGCCCGTTTGTTTTTTATCTGAAGTTAGTTTTTTTTAAGGGAAAACTGAGAGATGCAGATTGATTGCCTAATCTCACTCGGTGACACTTTCAAAGTCTTATAAAAAAATCTCCGCACATGATTAATGCTTGAGAGGAGACGGAAAAAACCCCTTTGCTTACGAAGAACTTGCTTTTCCTCATCTGTTCTGTGAGTGCATAATATACAATGCAGATGAGCCTGTCAGAGGTCCCTCCCCTTACATCCCCTACGAGAGGAAGTTTGTTGATGTAGTACTGACATTGCTTCTTCAAAGCCAGCAAGAACAAAAAGAAAAGAGAAGAAAGCCCATGAAACCACAACAGCCACTCCAAGGCGAGACGTGCATTGATTTGTTCTGCTGGAGAGTGGAACAGGAGCTCGCAGAACTCATGATGAAAGAGCACAGCAGCAGCAGCAGCTACAGCAGCGTCGGTCCGAGCCGTGTCAGCGATTCCACCATGGAAAGCCTGCAATCACTCAAGCCTAACTACATGCCTGTGTGTTTATTTGCAGAGGAATCTTATCAAAAATTAGCAATGGAAACTTTGGAGGAATTGGACTGGTGTTTAGACCAACTTGAAACCATTCAGACCTACCGATCTGTTAGCGAAATGGCATCGAATAAGGTAAGAGGAAAATATTTATCCCCCCCCAATGGTTTTGAAAAATGGAATTTAGTTGCATAGGGATTTAAACTTTTTTTTCCACATATACAGCTATATCTGCAATCAGACCTGCTACTGATTTTACCAAAAACAAAGTTAAAGAAAATGGGTGAACTCTTACACACCACCTCTGCTTCTTATTAAAGCTGCTAAATATTGGTAGTTCCTATCATTACACTATGGAGGTGGAGCAGTAGACATGTGTGGCATCAAACTTTGCAAGCTCTCAAGCAGAACACAGTTGTATCCAGAAATCAAGTTTTGCTCTTTGATTTTGTTAAATGGGTACCTAGGTGATTTGTAAATCGGGGGAGTGGGGTGGATTATTGTATATATTTACATACTCGGAACAATTCCCGATTTTGTATTAATTATCCCTTAGATACAAAGGAATAGCAACAATTAGGCAGTGATATCAAGTTAAAGGAGTGTTTGTAGGAATGGAACTTAAAATCCTGATGGGATTATAATTGGGACAATCAATAACTTTGGAAATAATTGTTTTTAGTAAATTGTCTGTGGTGCTGATAATTACAGTACAGTTATCTTCGCAGTTGTCATGCAGCAAATATAGTATGTATTGCTTTGATTTCAGTTACTGCATTGTACATTGTAAAAGAAAGGTGTTCTGGTTTTGTATACAGTGGTACCTCAGGTTAAGTACTTAATTCGTTCTGGAGGTCCGTTCTTAACCTGAAACTGTTCTTAACCTGAAGCACCACTTTAGCTAATGGGGCCTCCTGCTGCTGCTGCGCTGCCGGAGCCCAATTTCTGTTCTTATCCTGAAGCAAAGTTCTTAACCTGAAGCACTATTTCTAGGTTAGCGGAGTGTGTAACCTGAAGCATATGTAACCTGAGGTACCACTGTATTAGTAGTTGCATATGTAATGACAAGTCATATAAAGTGTTGCTATGTTAAGAGGCACATTTCTAAAAGGGGTAAAAATGTGTTGTAGAAGGTTGGCTGATATGCTTGTGTGTCGTATGTATGCCTTCAACCAAACCACTTGGAGAGCCATGCTGATTGTATGGTTTAACTTAGTAATTAATTGTAAAATCTCCCCATTATATCTCTAACACCTTATCCTTTTACAGTATAGTTAAAACCTGTCGCTCGGACTGTATTTACACCAGAGTCGCTCTTTCATTGGCTATTAGCCTGAATATTGATGGATTAAACAAAAGGCACACCTACTTCCCTGAGGCCGTGGGCACCTTATCTGCTGTGATCCAGGCATTGTTCAACAGAACAGTCTTTTGCACTGTTAATGCAGTCAGTTGAGCTACAGCATACATGATTCCAGAATCAGCATACATTGGTACCTCGGGTTACATACGCTTCAGGTTACATACGCTTCAGGTTACAGACCAGAAATATTACCTCAGGTTAAGAACTTTGCTTCAGGATGAGAACAGAAATCGTGCTCTGGCAGCAGCGAGAGGCCCCATTAGCTAAAGTGGTGCTTCAGGTTAAGAACAGTTTCAGGTTAAGAACAGACCTCCAGAACGAATTAAGTACTTAACCTATATAACCACTCTATATAACTTTCTCCAGGTGCTCTTATTAACACTGGTACAGTGGTACCTATGGTTACATACACTTCATGTTACAGACGCTTCTGGTTACAGACTCCGCTAACCCAGAAATATTACCACGGGTTAAGAACTTTGCTTCAGGATGAGAACAGAAATTGCGCAGCGGCGGCAGTGGGAGGCCCCGTTAGCTAAAGTGGTACCTCAGGTTAAAAACAGTTTCAGGTTAAGAACGGACCTCCGGAACGAATTAAGTTCTTAACCCGAGGTACCACTGTATGTGGCCTTTTATGATAAGCAAGCTATGGAGCCTAATATCTTACTCTGTTTCCTTCTGCAAAGGTATCAGTTTTCACACGCTGTTTTCAACATTTTCTTTAACAGAACCCTCCTTTTAATATCCAGCCTTCATAGACCCAGCCACAAACTACCTACTTAACCTTGCTCAGGTCACCATCATGCACTTTGCTGCTTAATAATAATAATAATAATAATAATTTATTTGTACCCAGCCCAGCTGACTGGGTTGCCCTAATTTGTATTTAAATTAGGGATTAATAACCAACTTCACAACCCTGTTGTGAGCAATAATGAGATATGGACATTTTACACAAAAAAAGGCCTACGTGGCAATTAAACAGGAGGCAATAAAGACAGAATAAGGTTTCAGGCAAAGGACTCCCAACCCTCCTCTCATCTTAATTTGCATTTTTTTTACTAGATTGTGTAAAATAGGTTAGAGCATGGTGCTGATAACGCCAAGGTTGCAGGTTTGATCCCCATATGGGACAGCTGCATATTTCTGCATTGCAGGGGGTTGGACTAGATGATCCTCAGGTCCCTTCCAACTCTACGATTCTTACTATTTCACGTAAATGTATCCTTATGTGCTTTTTAAGGATTTGGATATTGGACGTGTGCCGTGCAACTGGAACTACAGCATGATTGTAGCTTTTCAAAAGCTCTTAAGAAGCCTCTTAAAATATGTCAATTAATTAATAAATTGTCAAGTTTTCCACATCCGTGAAGTATCAGAATGATCTGCCTCTCTTCCGTCGTCTGCACAGAGATATGGCAGTAGCAAAACAGTCTGATGCTTTGAAAACAGGATGCTTCTACCTCCCCCTTAGTAAAGAATAACGGAAAGAGCAACAGTAGAGAAAGGAAGAAAGCATATAGACCCAGCATGATCCCAAGTGCAAGAGCTGTATAAACAGTGACCTATCTTCCTGACCTCTGCTATTGCTAAGTTCCTGGCCCTCTGCCACTGAAGCCAAACTACGTCATTTGAGAATGATAGTGGGCATGGCACAGCTGTTGTAAGTGTGACTCGAATTTCCTGTCTCCTTCCTGACAGACGTAGTTTTGAAGTACAGCGTTGCAAAAACAGTAGACAAATAGGGGGGTGACTGGTTTCTAGTGTAGTGCACTTATTCAAAACTGTTACCAAAATACGTTTCTTGATCATTTTGGTGATGGGAAAGAGAACCTTGGATGAATGTATCCTGTTTGTAAAATACTTGTAGTAAAAAAGAAGAAGCAAATGTTGCTGAAATGAATAATTACATTACTCAGAAATATGAGGAACTTAATCTCTGGTGTTCAACAGCGTGTGGCTCTGACATTCAGATGAAGAAGCGTAGAAAACAGTTCAGAAGGTCCCCGGAGGAGCAAACAGCAAAAAGTAGCAAAGCATTCACTGTGGCTGGGCATGTTCCTGTTTCGTTAAAATGATACACAAATGTTGTGTTAATCCCATTCAGCTATAAAATACAAATTAGCATACTTCCTGCTGCTGTTGGCTCCTGGTTCATGATGTGTTTCTTGTGCAACTCTTTGTTTTGATGAAGTTTCCAATCCTATTTTTATTGGCATTACTTATTTGCATTTTAGAATCCTTTCCACACAAAAATCTTAGCGGCTGATTATTATTAGGTGGATCATATATAGAAGTGGTGGTTTTTAGAAATCTCATAAGGTAGCGTGACATATATTCCAGGTATACAAGTGTACTTTATCGTTTTAACTAAAGTCACTCAGTGTGTAGAACTAGTGCTTCTGATGAATAAGAGTAATAATTTGAGATCTGAATGCTTGTGGAGGCAACCTACAACATTGCCTACTAAAAGGAAGAACCAAATAATGACCTGCCCAATACACTCAACCTGCTTTTCATTATTAGAACAGACATCACTTTGTGTTTTTCCATGGCCTGTATAAAGCTGAGATAGAAATAAGTTGTACAGTATATTTTAAAAAATCATAAATACTGCACTCAGTCAGGTCTTCAGGTATCCTGGGCATGCTTATGGCCAATTTGCATAGCTTGTTGAAGAAATTTAGCCTTTACCTAGATGATAATTTTGTATATTGTGTTTTGCTCATAGGCCTGGAGAACATGCATGTCTTCTTTCTACATTTATAGAATCATAATGTTTGAAGGTACTTCAGGAACAGTATGAATCAGGAGTGGGGACCTCCGGCCTGGGGTCTAGATGTGGCCCTTCAGGCCTCTCCATCTGGCTCCCAGAACTCGCCCCAGGCTACCCCTCTCACTGGTTCTGCTTTGCAACCTGAGTGCTTTTGTGTCGTTGGAATGTGTCCTTCAATTCTGATAGCGCCTCTTGCTTCTCCGGATGGAGAAGGGAGGTCTGTATGATCTTCAAACTTAAAGTATTGTAACATTAGATTTTTACCTATAAATAGTCCATTTTTTCATATTCCCTTATAACATTACAGCTAGAAACCACTTAGTTTCTATCCAACATCATTCTAACATTCATTAATTTTACAATATTTCTGTAAATAGTCTTTAAACTTTTCCCAATCTTCTTCCACCGACTCTTCTCCCTGGTCTCGGATTCTGCCAGTCATTTCTGCCAGTTCCATATAGTCCATCACCTTCATCTGCCATTCTTCCAAGGTGGGTAGATCTTGTGTCTTCCAATACTTTGCAATAAGTATTCTTGCTGCTGTTGTGGCATGGAAAAAAGAACTTTTAATGAAGGAGAGTCTGCTCCCTTCTAAAACCACTGTCAAACTTGTCAGCTTCCCCAGAAAAACTGGGACATCCCATTTTTTTCTTTGAGAGCATGGTGGCCCTTTTGGGCGCCTTGCTCTCTTGTGATTTCTGGTCAAGATCTCACCCTGAAAAAGCTTTTCCCCCCAAGTTCGTGATCTTACAGGCACCCCAAAACACTCATCCTTGGGCACCTTGCCTCTAAAATGCTGTTCCCTGAGCCATGATTATCTAAACAGCTCATAACATCAAGAAGCTACTCCTAATTTTTAACGGAAATCCCCATGCTTGTAATTTGAACCCACTGGTTCAGGTTCTAACTTCTGGAACAGCAGAGACAAGAGTATCTATGTGACACTCTTTCAAATGGTTAGAGATGGTAACCATGTTACTCCTAACAGTAGCTTTTCAAGGCTAAACATACCCAACTCCTTGGACCTTTCCTAATAGGACTTGGGTCTCCAGTCCCCAGCCCCACCTTATGACTTCATTGTCTTTATTTATGGGCATGTGACTTGACTGAAGTCAGCCATGACCTTCACAAAGCACACCAGGATATGATCTTTCAGAATTACCTAAATGACCCCAAGGGGTATGTGTCCCTACATCACGTAGGCGCTTGCTGAAATGTTCCATTATGGCTCTAGTCTGTCTTTTGTTAGCAATTTACATGCTAGACTATTGTCTGTTATCTGTAAATGAAAATCTATTGGTGTAAACAAAACATTCACTGCACTATTTCAAAAGGGGTTTCAGTCACATAAGACACGCAGGGTCACGCCTCAGTTTTAGGAGGCTAAATAAACTAAACATGAGGACACTAATGTAAACTCTGGAGGTAACTGCTGGCTGCCTTCCAGCTGTCTATGTGCCTCATTGCACAATGTCCATATTGGGAAAGAAGGGGGTGTCTTATTATAAGTTTGCAAGCTCTAGATTTTGCTCACTTGGTACGTGATGGTTCCCTAAAGGTGTGTCAAACTGTTCCTGCTTTTCAGTTTACTGTAACTTCCTTTGTTTAATATACATTGCAAAATAGCTATAAGCCTCCCAAAGACTGACTAGATTAGCTGTTGGGCAGTCAGCTATAAAACCTACTCCTTTCATTCCCTTTGCTTTTTTTTAAGTGGAGTTTAATAGCTGTAAATCAGGGAATTTTGCCTAGATTTATGACCTTTGGTTTGGCATTCCTTTATCCTGATAGGCTACAGCTATTTGTCCTGGCCTAAGCAAATGGGGAAAGTTGACACAGGAAAGAATGTTTAGACTAATCAGTCATTAGAGGTGCTCCATTATTATCAATAGATTTCTTAAATGAATCATAACCTTATAATAAATCTCACATACCCTGGAGCAATTTAGTGACTATAAGCATTAAATGGCTAAGTCTTTCTCTAGTAGCTTAAGTTATTATTACTAAACTCTTTGTGAGAGTTTATGGAGGTACTGAGGAACATTCCACCTGATAACTGAATTGGCTTACTTTGTTTTCAGTCAGGTTCTTCTAGCACAGAGAAAAGCAAACAGTTTATTTTCTATAGCAAGGAGTGAGTTGTGCAAATATTAGTTTTTTGGGCCTATTTAGGATGCACTGCCAAATTAGGGAGTTGCTGTTGGTATTGCTAACCATTTGTATAGCGCTAAAATAGACTAAATACTTTAAAAACTTATGTAAAATAAATAAATAAATAAATAAATAAAAATAATAGGACATAATAAGCTTTGTATCCAAAACTAGCCCTACTCAGCGTAGACCCGTTGGAATTAATAAACAGAAATTAGCCATGACCATTAGCTCTTGTGGGCAAACTTCAAGAACTCACTGGGGTTTATTTACCTTTAATATCCTACCTAGAACTTGAGAGATTGTAGAATACCCAGCTCTGATTTAGGGAGATGCTGGTTGCCATTACAGAATACAGATGCAGCCTATGGTGTGCTAGCTGGCTTTTTGGGCTTAGTTAGCACTGAGGAACAGAGTTTTGGCTATTTTTGCTTGCAAATTTGGAAACTGAGCAGTTCCATTTCATATCCTTAACACTGGGTGACTTTGATTAATTGAAATCAACAATTAATAAAGGATTTTAATATGCCATAACATTGTCTCAGGAATGCCAATGATCTTGCAAATGATCTTGCAAAACTGGCTCAATAAGCAACTGATTTGAGACCAAAATTTGTATAAGAAAGCTTGATGGAGAGGAGTTAATGTGTTTATTTTGGACTGTCCTTCCTCTTTGTCCCCCACCTTTTTTAAAAAAAGAAAATGTAACACCGCTGTGAGATAAATGGAATTGATAATGAGGGAAATGTACATTTAAATGTACATCTTCAGCCAAGATTCAAAACTAAATCTCTCTGTGATGTGCAGACATGTATCCTCTCACCTTTTCTAAATTGATGTTGATATCCTGTTTGGAACTGTATACAACTCATGTCCTTTGTTTGAGTTTGAGCATGGTGCCAAATAAAGAATTTAGTGGGATTAGCAAGAGTCTCTTTCCCCAAACATGGCACCAGACAATGCCAACTTCTCCCATGTTATCACTGATTGTGTTTCTTCCTCACGTGGAACTTCTGCACCAGATTTGTTTTTAAAAAGCAGGACATGCATTTTTTAAAGGCAGTTGCTAAAATAACAGAGGTTGTGTGTAGTTTTGCTTACTGTGAAACAAGAAGAGGGGAAAGAACTTTGACAAGATTCTCTATATACCCTCATAATGTGAACTAAACTGAAACACTGCTTAAAGGTTCCATCTGAATGCATTGCAACTATATCAAAGAGGGAAGAATAAAGTTTCCAAGGAGGACTTTGTTGTTGTTTAGTCATGTCCAACTCTTCGTGATCCCATGGACCAGAGCACGCCAGGCACTCCTGTCTTCCACTGCCTCCTGCAGTTTGGTCAGACTCATGTTGGTAGCTTCGAGAACACTATCCAACCATCTCGTCCTCTGTCATCCCCTTCTACCTGTGCCCTCAATCTTTCACAACATCCGCGTCTTTACCAGGGAGTCTTCTCTTCTCATGAGGTGGCCAAAGTATTGGAGCCTCAGCTTCAGGATCTGTCCTTCCAGTGAGCACTCAGGGCTGATTGCCTTCAGAATGGATAGATTTGATCTTTTTGCAGTCCATGGGACTCTCAAGAGTCTCCTCCAGCACCATAATTCAAAAGCATCAATTCTTTGGCGATCAGCCTTCTTTATGGTCTAGCTCTCACTTCCATACATCACTACTGGGAAAACCATAGCTTTAACTATACGGACGTTTGTTGGCAAGGTGATGTCTCTGCTTTTTAAGATGCTGTCTAGGTTTGTCATTGCTTTTCTCCCAAGAAGCAGGCGTCTTTTAATTTCATGACTGCTGTCCTGCTAGCCATTCCAGTATCCCTGCCAAGAAAACTCCATGGACAAAAACAAGGAGGACTACAGGAATATTAAACAAAGTCGTAAGTTTGTCAGTCCATCTGTCGGACTCATCTCCTAACTCTTTCTGCTGCCATATCCCTTAATGCTTAACATATTCAGAATAAGGAAATTTGTGCCTCCATCTTTGCTGAATACAGATTTCACTTTTGATTTCGTCTGAATATCTTACAACTTGAATTGATCTAAAAATCCTATGCAGTTCTTTCCCATTCAAGCACTTCCATGCTTTCCCATGGAAAGAAGTATGAAGAAAAGTAAAAAAGGTTGTAATTTATCATGAAATTGACCGAAAGGGGTTAATTGAACATTCCATCATTCCATGTGTCCAGCATTGGTCCAGCATGCTGAAAGTCCTCATTCTTGGCACTGGCGCTTATTTTAGAAAATTACAGGACTAGAAAGCATGAGGGGAAATCATCAAGTCCATCTACTGCCTTGAGACAGGTGGATTATGCCCAGTGTACTCTATATTAAATAGACCAAGAACTAGTTGCTGAGGTAATTATGTGGGATTTGAGCTCAGTAGCAAGAACTTTGTCAGTTCTAATAGTAAGTTCATGCAGTTGATGTGAGAAACTTTGATAAACAAATTTACCCAGGATCATTAATAATATTTATTTATTTATACATACCCCGCCCATCTAGCTGGGTTTCCCCAGCCGCTCTGGGTGGCTTCCAACAGAATTAAAAGCACAACAGAACATCAAACATTAAAAACTTCTCTAAACATCAGGGGTGCCTTCAGATGTCTTCTAAAAGTCAGATAGTTGTTTATTTCCTTGACATTTGGTAGGAGGGCATTCCACAGGGCAGGCGCCACCACCAAGAAGGCCCTCTGCCTCGTTCGCTACAGCTTCACTTCTCGCAGGGAGGGAACTGCCAGAAGGCCCTCGGAGCTGGACCTCTTGAGTAAAGAGAAGGAGATGACTAATTTATTACTGTAAATGTAAAACATCAACATTAATGCAAATCTGAAGTAGTACTTCCCAAAGCCTTTTAAAGAATTGTAAGTGCAGTGTTTTTAAAAACAACAAGAAAAGCAGGGACACCATCATACTTAGCAATTCTTACAATAGGCAAACCTATTAACTGAAGAATGACTCAATGTCTGGCACAGTTAATTAGCTCATAATTGTTTTTACAGTAGCCTGAAAACATGCATAACAGGAAAACTTCACAATTGGGATCTATTTTTCACAGCTTTACATTTGCATTGACCATTGTTAAAAGATAATGATAGAATGGGTTTTAAGCTTAATCATCTATTCAGATGTTCACAAAGTGTGATCTTGTAAATGATTATGTGTATGCAGTATCTTTATTTCACTGTCTTAATTAAAATAATACAATTTAATCTCACTCTACATGCGGGGAAAAATTATGAATGCAAATTAAGCTGTGAAAGCTCACTGAAATATACAAACTGCTGCATTCATTCAACTTACCTAACCCAAAGTAGTTATAATTTTCTGTTGTTTATATGCAGTAGTTATTTTACATGTCACTTTTAGTAATTTAGATTAAAAAAAAATTTTTTTTACAGAGGGCTACACTAGTATTCATGGATTTATTCAGGGAAATCAGTATTTGCTTACCCTGCAGGCACAATTGTGTTTCTATGCAGCATCTGACATCAGTCAGTGCTCCATATAAATGTTATAAAGGCTTGTTTGTATGGTACATACTCAATGTGAATAAAACTCCATCTGAAGTTGCTGACCAAGCAAGCAATTTATCTATATACCAGTTGCTTCAAAAGGTCACTGGATTACATTTTGTTAAGCAGAGTCATAACTTATCAGTGCCCTGTATGTTCCTCCCTTCCTTTATCACGGAAATTCCACTGAGTGGCACAACATTTGGGCATGGCAAAAACCAAGAGAAAGTTAAGCAGCATATATCTGAATGCAGCTGACATCAGTGGACCCCTCTTCTGAATTCAGCACTTGCTCAATTGATCCAAATTAGATTCGGGCATGCCTAACTTCCAGTAGCATCCAATTAAACTGGTGCTTCTTCAGATTGCCATTTAGGCTTGTGGGCTTTCTATAGGCATTTGGTTGGCCATTCTGAGGGCTTTTCCACACTTACCTTTTGCCTCACTCTTCCCAGGCAGAGGTCTGTGCTTTAATGCTCCATGTCTGAGCAGTTGTTGGTGAGGTTTTTTTGTCCCCCTGAGCTTTAAAGAGCAAAAACCCGCTCTTTAAAGCTAAATCAGAGCAGACGTCAATTTGGGTTTGCTGCAAAGGGATGTTTGCGCCAATTGAGCTTTAAATTGCAGGTCGTGCCTGAAAAACACAGAGGAAAGTTAAGTGAGCATAAACCCTGAAAACAGAATGCTGGGCTAGATTGGTCTATGTTCTTATCATGTTCATGATGACGGTTCTTGTCATGTTATCTGCACACACACTTACCTCCCATTGAACCTAATAGAGCTTACCTTTGAATAGACATACAAAGGATTTCACTGTTAATTGTACACATCCATCTGAAAGGAAGTGTATTGTGAGCGAAGGAAGTTTGGACAATGAGTATGAGAGGAACTCTTTCTTAGACCCATGCAGTCTTCAGCCTGCTCTCATATAGGCCCTATTTAATTTATAGATGGCTGGGCTCTTCAAATGTCAGCAGAAAGGCAATTCTCCCCTGTAGACTGCTGGTCAGATTATATATATTATTTCCCCAACTGTAAGCAAATTTAAGAAAACCACTTCCTGTTCAAACTTCTTTATTAATATTGCAGTAAAGGTAATATATTAATATTACCTTTGTGTTCAATATAAAATTAAATGTCTTAGATTACATTGATTTGGTTCTCAGAATAAAATCTTCCTTAATTGAAAGCCTGACGTTCTTTCGCTTTTGACTAAGTTGTTGGCGCACCAGTCCATTGATCTGAGTCCTAAATGAGATTCATGAGCTTGAAAGTCATTCCCCAGCGCCTACGTGGCTGGGATTCCTGACCTTCACAGGGAGCATCATTCACACCTTCTCTTGCCCATATCTTATGACATATTCCTGAGCAAACCCATCATGAGCCGGTCGGAGAGTGACGCACACCAGAAGCTGCCTCTGTCCATGTGACGCTTCTCCCAGAGCACCCACTTGGAAGCACACAATGCTGGCAGGCAATTTAAAAGACTTCTTTTCACAGTCTGTAAAGCAAACGGTTCAGATACGTTGTAGCTTATATTTAATGTCAGAGTTTCATAATTCTTTGTTGTTTGTACATAAACACCAGGATTGTGCGCTTTCTCTTCTAGCATTTCAGATTTTGGCTCCAAAATCCAAAGCATTCATATTTGCCATTCAAACCCAAACTGTGGAAAGTGAGGGCAGCTGAGTACTGTAGGAGTAGTAATAAGCCAGAGTAGCTAGAAGTTCTGAACATTCTTTGACGGCTGATTCTCAGATTTGTTTTTTATTTGGACAAAACATGTATAGGTAGTATTGACTGTGTGCTCTTCCTGCAATCTAAAAGACACAACATAGGCTGCTGTTAGCAAGGTTTGTGTTGCCATTGAACTGGTTATACAACCTGTTCAGTTTTCCTGTTACTGCGTATATAGCCCACTTGGGAAAATAAACTAAGCAGTCGCATAGAGGACTTAAGAGTATGTGTCTAACAGATGTTGTTCTGCAGCTGCTAGTTTTCAGTCTTCACTATTTTGTTCTGGGGTCAAAATTATTCATGGCTTCTGAACGAATCCCTTAGTGCTTTCCATCACAACTTGGAGCTATTTCATTTTCACAGCAATCACTTCAGATCTGTGAACATTGTAGAGTATTCTGGTGTGTGGAGGGATGGGGGAATTCTGTTATGGTTATGGTTTATCGATCAGCTGGTGTGTGGTGAGTTCAAACCTGTAGGACGAGCTGTGCAACTGATTTCCCATGGGGAAGCCGATTGCATAGCCGATCCTTGCAGAAATCCACTTTGCTGTCCCAATGCTTGGGAAGCACTGAAAACAGGGCTGAGAAGAAAGGACATTGCGCGGTGCTTCCAAAATGCCCCAAAGCCAGCTGGCTCTCTTAGCACTTCCAAAGCATCAGCCATAGGGCTGACAAAACTCCTTGTGCTGCAGTTCCCGAGCACCCAACAACCAGCTGGCTGTGTAAAGCATTTTGGGAAGCAGTGTGTGAAGCAATTAGCAAGCCCACAATGATGTCAAATGATTGACATGTGGGATGTCTCATCTACCAGTCAAAGGTGGCCCTAAGGGTGGGATAAGAATAAGGTTCATAAATGGTTTATTGGAAACCAATCTTGTTTCTACCTGTTAAAGGTAAAGGTACCCCTGCCCGTACGGGCCAGTCGTGTCCGACTCTGGGGTTGCGTGCTCATCTTGCTTAAGAGGCTGGGGGCCAGCGCTGTCCGGAGACACTTCCGGGTCACGTGGCCAGCATGACGAAGCTGCTCTGGCGAGCCTGCACCAGCACAGCGCACGGAAACGCCGTTTACCTTCCCGCCATAAAGCGGTACCTATTTATCTACTTGCACTTAAGGGTGCTTTCAAACTGCTAGGTGGGCAGGAGCTGGGACCGAGCAAGGTGAGCTCACCCCGCCGCCGGGATTCGAACCGCCGATCATACGATCGGCAAGTCCTAGGCGCTGAGGTTTTACCCACAGCGCCACCCGCGTCCCTGTTTCTACCTGTTAGAATGGAGAAAATCCCGTGCAACTTCTGTTTAGTGGTGGTGATTAGTCAGTCAATTCCAATGGAACCTCTTCAGGTCAAACTTTTTTAGCCCTGCAGAGTAGAGTTAGCAGAAGTCTCTACTTCTTAACAGCACGTTTATGTAGCTTGAATTCCAACACTAAGCTTACCTTGTTGCAAGCAAACAAGGAGTTCTAAGAAATTATTTACATAATATCTGGGCATGGGGTACAATTAAAATTTCTGGGCAGGCTGGTTCTTCATATGTGATAAAGACCAAACAAGCAATTTATCTAAAAAATAGCTAAACACACCTGTATACTATTTTAAGCATTTGATTTGTGACTGAAGAAAGAATAATACTTCTAATGCAACTTCCATATAACAGACTATTCTTTATAGTTCATATGTATTCTATCATGATACAGATCATGACGTCATGATTCTGGTACCAAAAATGCTTAACAGCTTTTAAGAAGTAGATAAAATATTTTTCTGGTCGCAGCTTTTGTAGCTTAGGTTTGAACCAATAAATAGCAGGATTTCTTTTGTCCAAAGAGACGGAGATTCTATATTACTAGACTTGCTTTACACACACACACACACACACACACACACACACACACACTTTGGATCTCAGGAATTAGCTTCCAATTTGCTTAAAGCACTCTTGGAATTCCTGTAGCAGGGCATTAGGGCTGCATGACAGTAATCTGAAGGGAAGCCTGTCTGTAAAGGAGGGTGGCTGTCATGTGGTGCTGTTGCCATAGTACCATGGTATTCTTTTGACCAGCTGTATATGAACTCTTGAAGAAGGGAATGAGATATGTGGGGTGGGGGTGGGGAAGATAGCAGCTTTACATTATAAATCTACGCTGGCTGCTAATTAAAAACAGAAATAATATGAAGCTCACCTTTATTTTTAGAATATCCCTGACTCCTAAAGTGGTCGGCGTAAGAGACAAAAGCGGTGCAAATGTGCTTTAAATGACAACAAATATTCAGTCTGATTTATTTCACTTTACTGAGTGCTTTTAGTGTGGATTCATACACTGACATAAGAAGAGGCAGCGTTTGCATGCAGTGGTTCCTTTGCAGCCTGGGCTTGCAAATGAAAACACGCAGCATCCTGCATCAAATTGGGCTTCTGAATAACTTCTTTTAGGGAACAGGCTATGGAAATCATCTTACATTTTGCTCTGCAGATATAACATCGCTTTCTATGTTTGCTAAGAATTTCAGAAGTGAAAGCTGTCTGGTTTTCTTTGCACTGAAACATTAAAATACTTCTTAGCCAGACATGAGCATATGTATCTTCTCTGTATATGTAAAGAAATACAAAATCATATTAGAATGGGTAGGGAGAAAACAATTATAATTTTAAATCAGTGCCCTAAAGCTGTGTTTAAAAATCTCTGTGAGTGAAAGGGGATTTCCCATAATGGCAATGCAGTGATCTGGAGGAGGAGGAAGAAGAGGAGGGGGGGCTGCTCGCCTTATTTTGCCTTGTTTAGATATGCACGGGGCTTCCTCCATTTTAATCTTTCTTTTGAAAAGATGGCTGTATAGCTAAATCCAGCAATGCCTACAAAAGCAGCCATCAGTTCATTTTCGCTCAGTTCAGCAACACTAATTTGGAAACCCACCTTCAGAAAACTAAGCAACCAGGACTATTCATAATTCATAAGTGCTTTAAGGCAGCTTGCTGGAAACAGTTGGATTATCTCTCACTCCTCTCCGCAGCCCTTTTACATCATTTTTGTGTGTGTGTTTTGCCGACAAAACCTCCAACAATACATTCTTTTCTGCAAAACTGGAATACAAACCTTGGTGTTGTCTTGGAGTAGCAAGTAGCCATTATTACAGGAATTGTTGACTTTTACCAATATTAATCTCACTGACCGGGAAATCCTTCTTCCTGAGGAGTTCCTCCTTCTGATCTGCAAATTCTTCATAAGAGATTTCTCACTTTTGGCGTGCAAAGTCTTCCAAAAATGCCTGAGGCAAACTATTTGTTATCTGTATCTTGGGGTTATATCAAGGTGGGTTTAAAATAAAGAAAAGCAAATAATAATGTCCAGTTGTGTTATTTATATGTAAAGTATATATCAGAATCATATTTATTGCTATATAGCCTTAAACATGTTAGATACTTTTACAGTAAGGTGTAATATTGCCATACAAACAGAACATCATGAAAAATAGGAGCATCATTTTATGATCATTTACATAAAGTATATTTAAGTTGTATGCAACTTGATAATCCAGCCAAATTCCATATTAACATTTCATTTTTCACCTGGCAAAAATGTCTATAAATTGATGTTGCTTTTGTATTGTATGTGGGACGTTGCTAAATCGCTCATGATCAAGATTTAGAACAGGTTTATAACTTGTGAGACCAAAAACAGCTCTAAAATCGACATAGTTTTCCAGAATTAGGTAAAATGTATCTGCCTTTTTAAAATGATATTTTTAAAAACTGACAGCACCATAACCTTAAATCGCACCATGTCGTCTAAAAATATTTCTTATATGTTTATAGACTATCTATAAAGGCATTGCTGAATGATGTCATCTTTAAGTTAGTTAATAATGTCCCATTTTATTTACTGTGCATGTATCGCTCAAAAAAACTGATGGTTTGGGTTTTCTTTTCTTCTAATTACGAATAGTTCAAGAGAATGTTGAACCGAGAACTGACACACCTTTCGGAAATGAGCCGATCGGGGAACCAAGTGTCTGAATATATTTCAAACACTTTCCTGGGTAAGTTATTTAGCACCAAACCCATTCCATTCTGTGTCTAAGTTAGGTTTTAACAAGCATGGCCAGGCTCTGATGTGCATGCAGGGCTGTTCTTACAGGTGCAATGATGCTTCAGTGATGTAGCTGCACTTAGTTAAACTATGGAACTCACTCCTACAGGAGGCAGTGATGGTTACCAATCGAGTTGGCTTTGAAAGAGGATTAGACAAATTCACAGAGGAGAGGACTATGGAGGCAGTAATGCTTCTGAACACCAGGTTCTGGAAACTATACAGGATGAGAGAGTCCTCTTGTCCTCGAATCCTGCTTGCAAGTTTCCCACAGGCATCTGGTTGGACACTGAGAGAACAGGGTGCTGGACTAGGTGGGCCAGTGGCCTCATCCAGCGGGCCCTTCTTATGTTTACAACCCCAACCCCTTCCTTTCCAATCCCAAACCCACTGCGCTGCCCAACAACCCATTTTAAGAACCTAGTGGACTTCTGCTTTGAGTATAGTCATTTGTTTCTCTCATTGAAAATTTTTTTTAGTGGACTTTAGGAATCAGTCTCCACTGCAATGAAAGGAGCTGTGGTCAGGCAGGGCGATCGTAGAAGCCCCAGTGCTGTGTAGGGATGAGCTTGAGCAAAGAAACTGGACAAAGTGCTGTGGGGCGCACATTTCATCATGACATGTCTTGGGCAGCAGATGAAACCGTGGCGTATGAAGGGAGCGTGATTTATTCCTTGACACCACCTTTAAGCAGAAGAAAAACCTAAATAGTAAAATCTAGAAGTATAAGAGCATACAGGTGCTATCGAGGGCAGAAGTTAATGTTGCAGGCCGTTGCTTAGCAACCCTCCATACTCCATACTCCCCAGGCTTGAAGTAGTGGGGTTGAGAATGGTGTTTGCTTGCCTGGGGCTATTCATCATGGTGCATTATAAAGCTGAAAAGTTAGAGCAGCCATGTCAGCTAACTCTGTGGTTGGGCCTGAAGTGGTTTGCCCATTTCACCAGGACAGCCCTACTTACCTGCTTTTATATTCTCTTCATCTGATTTCTGCTTTGACTATAGCCATTCTTTTTTCTTAATGAAAGTTTTTTAGTGATTTTTTTCTTCATTATATGGAGCAGTGACAAAGTATTTAAATACTAGTACCCTTCCACAACCAATGCCCCCCCCCCCAAAAAAAACAACTTTCAGGCTTCGCTCCCTTTGCCCAAATGCATCCAGTTTAAACTGGTCCATAATATGTAAGATCTGTTGCAGTTTTGTTCTGTTTGGTAGTGTTTAATAGTGACAATTTATGTGTGTGGGTATTTGTTTCTCCCATTTTAAGCAGCCAGCAAACTTTCAGCGATAGTGTTAACCTATGGTTTTTCCAAAATAAGCATTTTGACGCACACACACACACACAAAATTAATCTGAAAGTCCACATTTCACTTAGGATTGTGAACACACACACACACATTATGACATTTTAAATGTTTTAACTCTTGTTTTACCACCAAATAAAAATAACTCGTTTGTCTTCAGTGGATATTCTTAGGTGAACACTTTGACCCACAGTCTTTATCCAAGCACTGATAAAATGCACAAAATATCTATTGAACAAATAATGAAGATATCACTGTGTTAAAATTGTCAGTGATATTGGTCCCTTTTTAAGGGCCTCTGCCATTAATGGCTCCTGTTGACTTCATCCATCACATAGCTCCACCTTTGGTTATTAATTATTAAAAATAATCTTGGCAATAGTAATAGTTTTTGTCTTTATTTGTAACAGTATCCAAACATTAGATTTATAAATCCATTAAATTATTTAAACTATTTTGAATAAGCAAGCAGTATAATATAAACATTGTACACAAGTGATATTAAAACAGATGATACTTTGCTCCATAAATTTTGTAATTCATTTCTCTATATGTTATTCACAGACAAACAGAATGATGTGGAGATTCCCTCTCCCACACAGAAGGATAGAGAGAAAAAGAAAAAGCAGCTCATGACACAGATCAGTGGTGTGAAAAAGCTAATGCATAGTTCAAGCTTGAATAATACTAGCATTTCAAGATTTGGTGTGAAAACAGAAAAGGAAGACCATCTAGCCAAGGTGAGTGCAGTTAACTTATCGTTATTTTAGTCTTTTGGTGTAAGATACCACTTGCTACCAATGGAGAGAGAGATTTTGGTCAGCTGCTTAATATAGTATATAACACCAGTATTCAAATGTATATTCTGATTATATCAGAAAAGTATTCTCTTATGTAGTTTAAGAATTCACCATTACAGGGTCTAGTTTTGACTCACTACTCCCTAGCACATAATTGGTGCTGGCATAGTAGCAAAAAATAGTTAAATACAGTCATACTTTGGAAGTCAAACAGAATCCATTCCGGAAGCCCGTTCAACTTCCAAAACATTCGGAAACCAAAGCACGGCTTCTGATTGGAAGCCACAGAAGCCCCATTAGATCTTTGGCTTCCAAAAACAGTTCGCAAACTGGAACGATCACTTCTGGGTTTGCGGCGTTTGGGAGCTAAAACATTCGAGAACTAAGCTGTTCGAAAATCAAGGTTCGACTTTATGTTCATATATGTAGCTGCAATTTAGGAAGAGATGTTCTTCCTTGTTCCTTTTACATGATATATAATGTTCTTTCGATAACTATCTTATTAGTGTTTGAGAGAGAGAGAGAGAGAGAGAGAGAGAGAGAGAGAGAGTTTTGAGTTTATAAATATAGCTATAGACTACTTATGGGCTTGCCTTCATTGCATTAGTGTTGTATATCCATTATTTTTTGTTTAATATTGAGTGTTTTCTCCCCCTCTAGGAGCTGGAGGATCTGAATAAATGGGGTTTGAACATATTTAACGTTGCAAGATATTCACACAGTAGACCTCTCACCTGCATTATGTATGCCATTTTTCAGGTTCGTAATTTCACTGGTTATATATTGCTTCAGATGGTTGCATTTAAAGGCAGCAACAACAAACAGTCCCATCCCACCCACCCCCATGATGAAGCCTTCAGGTTTGCATCACCTTATAACCTTCTGCAATTTAAATTACCTTGAAACAGGAGAGAGATCTGCTAAAGACATTCAAGATCTCATCAGATACCTTCATAGCTTACATGATGACTTTGGAAGACCACTACCATTCCGATGTGGCCTACCACAACAGTCTCCATGCGGCTGATGTAGCCCAGTCAACACATGTCCTCCTGTCCACCCCAGCCTTGGATGTGAGTAGCTCCCCACTTGCAGTGAGAAATACTCATGTTGCAATAGTGAATTTGTTTCGCAGATTAATTATTTATTTACAACAGTTCTTTGTTTTATTTTAATTCTTCTTCCTTTGTAGTTGCTTTCACCCTTCTGGGATTCTACAGCTGTTCTGTTCCCATATGCTCTTGCATTCTTGGTAGTTGCACAATTAAGCTGATTTCCACACCACTAATGGAGAACCTGTGGCACTCCAGATGTTGGGCTTCACCTTCCATCACCCCAGTCAGCATGACCACCGGCCAGTGATGGTTGGGAATTGTAGTCCAGCAACATCTGGAGGGCTTGGGTATATAGTTAGTAAGATTAATTTAGACCAGGCTTCCTCAACCTTGGCCCTCCAGGTGTTTTGGCCTACAACTCCCATGATCCCTAGCTAGCAGGACCAGTGGTCAGGGATGATGGGAATTGTAGTTTCTGGAGGGCCGAGGTTGAGGAAGCCTGATTTAGACCTTGATTTCTAAGATGGAACTTCTCAGCAATACTCTGATATCAAAATTTAAATTTTTACATGGAGAAACTTAATATTGAATGCAGTAGATTTATATTTGTGCAGTTACATTACCTGTAGTGGGTATACAGGGTCTATTGTGCCTAGAAGAATGTGTCAGAATGGAGGGAAAGTGGCAAGTGGTCCTGAAAGTTTTAAAGTGTGTCATTTTAATAATGTGTGACTAAAACAGTTTAGTTAACTCAAGTCCTACTTTAAGAAATGCCTGTGATTTGGTTTCTGTTGATGTCTGTGTGCGTGGTTAATGAGTTCAAAATTATGATCTATCTATTGCTCATTTTTGCCTTAGGCTGTCTTCACTGATCTGGAAATTCTTGCAGCCATTTTTGCAGCAGCAATTCATGATGTGGATCACCCTGGTGTCTCCAACCAGTTTCTTATTAATACAAGTGAGTCCTATGTTTATTACACACACACACACACACTTATCACCAATTTGGGCAGTTATACTTCATGAAAATTATTTACTAATTAGATCTTTTTTAAAAAAATCTTGTAATAAATATAATACATTCATTTTAAATCATGAAGCCTCGAATATACTGAAAATGAATTTCCTTAGGAAATAATGAGTTACATTATCTGTTTTTTGTGGGTTTTTTGGTCAGATTCTGAGCTTGCTCTGATGTACAATGATGAGTCAGTCTTGGAAAATCACCACCTTGCTGTGGGTTTTAAGCTGCTACAAGAAGAGCATTGTGACATCTTCCAGAACTTGACCAAGAAGCAACGTCAAACTCTCAGGAAAATGGTGATAGACATGGTAAGGATTTGGTATCCCACCCCCTGAAAACTTCTTACTGCTCATTTTTCTAATGCATGCAACCGAAATTCAGGTTTCTACTTCCTTGCATTTACAACAATTATTTTTCTTTTCATATAGGTCTTGGCCACAGATATGTCCAAACACATGTCCCTACTGGCAGACCTAAAGACTATGGTGGAAACTAAAAAAGTGACAAGTTCCGGAGTTCTGCTTCTAGATAACTACACAGACAGAATACAGGTGTGTATGGGAGCTTCTGTTTTTGTGATGCTACTTCTCTTTTAAAAAGGCATACTGCTTACTGTGACTTCCTTTAGGGATCAAAACAGAAAACATGACAAGTTATGTTCTTGATTTACTGTGGAGAAGGTGTGTCCAGAACCTGATAGTTTGCTCTGCTGTGCATCAAAGGACTTCTAGCACAAGACATTGCACTGTTGTTCTGGTGGAAAAAGCTGGCCTATTTTCAGGTAGTTGAGCGGCTGGGGGGGGGTTGTAACTTTCTAAGGTGAGGATACAAGGCCACCTGCAGCTTTAGCATGGCATAGTAATGGCTGTGGAAGTGACTTGCACCAAAGGGGGTAGTAAGAGGAAATCGGGTGGGCAGTTGACTATACGCTACTGTAGATGTTGCAATGCAAAATTTCCCCTGTGCTTGCAACTGCATTTGGAAACATGACTGAGCTGATAAGCACACTGACATTTGTGCACGTAAACTATATAATCATACAAACCTCTCCACCAGATAGGAATTTGGTGTTTGTGGTTTCCTACATTCTTCAAACCCACTTGGAGAAGACAGGATCCCACAGTCATAAGGAGTATAATCAGTTCAGTGATCATTTGGATTTGTAGTACAGCCAAGTGTTGTGCAATCTGAAAGTTTCTTCTTCACATGCTTGTGGCTTCCAAGGATTAAGACCTGTCATGGGTGGCAAAGAATATTGAAAGAAGAAGTTTATTCCTTAAAGACAGGGACTCTATTCCAATAGTTTACCTGCTTTTTCCACTTTGATGATGATACACCTAGAAACAACCATTTTAGAATATTCCTAGAAATTTCTGTGACTTGAAAAAAATATTTTTAAATGAGGGTACTTATTTTACCCTTATCTTGATGAAATATTTGTCCTACAGTTCCTCAGTGCTTCAGGTTATCTATCACAACAGATATGCCAGAAGTGGCAATGCACAGTGCCCCATGACAAACCCATTGTTCTTCAGTTCTGAGTTTCTCCCAGTTGGCACAGAATTCCCATTTCTAAATAAGCATTATATAAATATGAAAGAAAAATATCCCTTCACAGAATCTCCTACATTAAACCTGTGGCCCTCCTGATGTCACTAGATTCCCAATCACCATCATCCACCGCTATTGGCCATGCTAACCTGGACTGGTGGGAGCTGGACTCTGACAGCATTGTGGGAGAGGGACAGGTTCCCCATTCCTTCTGTAAAAATTCCCTTTCATGCAGACTAGAGCTCAGCCTCCATAGCTCAAAGTATTACATTTAAGACTTTCAAGTTGTCCTCCATTGCTGCCAAGTTCTTTTCACACTAGCAACTGAGAGCTACAACAGTTATATAACATATTCCAGCTTCTAGGAAGTAAGTAGGGTGGAAAGAAACATGACTAAACAGACATTCAGATATCTATTATGCTTGGAAAAACAAAGGGCCAGCTAGATGCCAGTCTTGGCAGGCACTGTCTGTGAACCTGCATAAATCAGGGTCACCAATTCTGAATCAGACTCATGAGTTTGACAGCTCAGGTGCTACAGAACCACTTTTCATTTGATTTATTTCCTCCAAGGAGCTCAAGCTGGTAAATGTAGTTTTGTCTTCCATTTTATCCTCACAGCAACTATGTGAAGTAGATTATATGGCATGCCATATTACGTCTTCTATAAAGATCAGGAAAAAACCTGAAGTGACACTTTTTAGACTAACTGAGGGAGGTTAGACTGAGAGATAGTTCATCCCATGGCTGAGACAGAATTTGAAATTGGGTACCTCAGTCTCACTACTATACTAACACTCTGTAGGATTTGCTGACACCCAGATGAACCAGGGACCTTTAGATCTTCACTCTAACTCTCTCCCAACTGATCTTGAATCAGATTCAAGATACGAGAGTCTGGACACATTTCTTTCTTCCACACTTGTATCTTTAAGGCACAAGCAGCGTAAAGTAATTTGGAATGCAACTCTAAGCTAAAGGGTAGGTAATAATAATAGATAATAGTAACTTTTATTTGTATCCCACCCTCCCCTGCCGGAGCTGGGCTCAGAGCAGCTAACATCATATAAAACACAATATACATAAAAACAAACAAACAATGGATTAAAATGCATCCCAAAATTAATTCAAATAAATTAAAATTAGACTGGAAAAATGGCCATCCTCAAGTTAAAATTGAAAACGGTTAATACTCGCCAGGACCAACTATTTCCACTGATATTATAAGGACCTGTGAGCGGGCTGGGAAACCTCCTTCGTACTTGTTCATACAAAGAGAAAATGAGTCAGACTGAACCCTGGCCAAAGGCCTGGCGGAACAGTTCTGTCTTGCAGGCCCTGCGAAAAGATGTCAAATCTCGCAGGGCCCTGGTCTCTTCTGAGAGAGTGTTCCACCAGGGCCGGGGCCACGACCGAAAAGGCCCTGGCTCTGGTCGAGGTCCATCTAATCTCCCTGGGGCTCGGGATCTTCAGGGTGTTGTTATTTGTATACTGTAAGGTCCTCCGTGGGCTTACCAGGAGAGGCAGTCCCGTAGGTACGAGGGTCCTAGGTCGTATAGGGCTTTAAAGGTTAAAACCAGCACCTTAAACCTGATCCTGTACTCCACCGGGAGCCAGTGCAGCTGGTATAAGCAGATGTTTGTCCTGCTCTGTGGTGTGGTGAGCCAAGGCCCAACCAGGATCTAAGAAAAGGAGATGTTCAGGCAAGACACAAGGCAGAGCTCTGAAGTCACTCCAGCAAGGAATAAACTGAGCCCTTATATAGCAGCAGTAACTAAAGCCTTACTGGTAGCCCTGCCTGCACTGCAAGGGGCTGCTTTACTTAAAAGAACCAAGCCTTCCCCAATACTGCAGTGGAGCAGAGAAGCCTCAGGTCATCTGCTGTAAAGTCCTCCAAGTCCAAGAATGGCAGTGCTGCATCCTTGGGTTGGAGAGGCAATAGTCCCACAGCACTTTGGGGGCTGGTCCTGCATCCCCCATCCCTTCAGGTTTGGAATCCTTGCCTCCATGACCAATGAAACAGGACTCCTAGTCCCTGATTTAGTCCCACTTCTGGGGTTTAGGTTTAGTTTTAGTTTAGTTTTGCACTTGCGTATTCAGGAGAGTGTTAGTGCAGCTTGCACAGACCGAAATTATTGCTCATCATGCATATCCACAGTTAATTAGGTGATATAGCATGACCTCTCACCAAATAATCCACATCTTGACTTAGTAAAAATGTATTTTAATGTTCTCTTTTTATAAAATACTCCAAAATAAGGGCATTTTTGTGATCAAAATGTTCTTCTTTTAATGTGAAATTGTACAGGATGTGCCTGCAAGTAGAGAATGAAATGTTTTTCTATTCTGCCTGATTATGTGAGCCTTCATATTAATGCAGGTTATGCAATTACAGGTTCTCCGAAATATGGTCCATTGTGCTGATTTAAGTAATCCCACAAAATCCCTTGAACTCTATCGACAGTGGACAGACAGAATCATGGAGGAATTTTTCCAGCAGGGGGACAAAGAACGGGAGAGAGGAATGGAAATCAGCCCAATGTGTGACAAGCACACAGCTTCTGTAGAGAAGTCACAGGTATTTGACTTTATTTTACCTCCCCCCCCACACACACATAGTCAGTTGGGGTTTTGCCTTGAGTTTGAGCTTTTTCTAAGGTGGGGTGGATGTCCTCCCCACCCCCAATTCTGTGTTATTTGCATTTACTGGTAATTCCAGAATGTTTCTTTTTTTATCTGGTGCTGAACACAGACTGATTCCAAATATCTAGATGTCTCTGAAACCTTTGCGGACTTTAGCAAAAAAATCCTCCACTGTCAGCTATGAACATCTCCATTGTGTGAGGGATATAATCATTATTTTTTATATTCCCAATTCTAGTTGCAAATGCTTGAGAACCATTTTGGGGTAATGACTATATCAGGGGTAGCCAATACAGTGTTCTCTGTATGTTGTTAGGCTGAAATTCCCATCAGCCCCAGCCAGCATGACCAATGGTCAGAAAAGATGGGAGCAGTAATTAAACAACATCTGAAGGGCACCACATTAGCTATGCCTGGGCTTGAGCAGTGGAACTTAAACTGCAGGGACCGAGTGCTCACTAGGTTATCTTTGGCTGGTCTATCTCACTGTCACTGGCTAACCTACCTCACAGGATAAAAATAGCAGAAATTGTGAGGATAAGATAGATGGGAAGTTGTATGCTGCCCTTAATTCCTTGGGAGAAAATCAAGTTGAAAAAAACTAAGAATAAGAATAAGAATAAGAATAATGGAAAAGATAGCACAAAAAGATTAAACAATGTCCTTTACAATCCCAAAACAAAAAAAACCAAAGTCTATTAATTTTCCTGGTTCAAGTTGTCTGCTAAGAGAATAAACTTAGTGTTTAAAAAGTTGAAACATTTCTAGTGGCGTTTCTTTATGGCTATAAAATGCCGAAGAACCCCACCTTCTAATAACCAGGCAAAGCTATTTAACTTAAAGGTCTCTCCTGAGCATACTCTGCAGGAAGTTTTCGTCACCTTTTGGCTTAAGCTGTCTCAATGGTTACAATGGAATTACAACGGCTCATTTAACATCCTGTTGTGTCTGAAGAAGGCAAATGTGATTTCCAAACCAAACATCCTAGGACTGCGATGGGCTCCTTGGAGAGCTGTTTTCCTGCTCTGTAAAGTTGCCGTCCAGCAGCTTTTGGAATTAAGTGACAAACCTTTGGCCAGGCGGAAGACGATAGCTTTTATGGCCATTCAGTTTTCTCTCTTCTGCACTTCCTGTTGTCAAGCAACTTAGAACTCAGTTCAGAGCTTACTCATCAGACAAAACGTGAAGGCATCATTCTTTCCCCACAATGACACACCATTTCCACAGAACATTACTGTATCCCCACACTGAGTGCAAGGGGCTGGGTGTAAGAGCAGTTGCCTCCTTTCTCTTTCCTGGTGGAGGAGAATATAAATATTAAAGGGAAACATCATCCACCCCTCTGCTTCTGTCCAAAGATACAGTGTGTTGTGCAAAGTATGTTAACAGTTGTAAACTGTTACAAAACTTCACATCAGAGGTAGGGATGGAAGGACATGTCAATTTCAGCTCTCAGTTTCTCTCTCTTTTTTCCCAAGCTTAAATGCAGTTCACCACATTTTGCACCCATTATAGCGGCAGCTTTTCATGTTGTGTATTTTCTTACAGTTCTTTCTTTTGTTCTCAAGAAATTTAGACCCGTGGTAACTACTTTCTATTGCTTTGCAGGTTGGCTTCATTGATTACATTGTCCACCCGCTTTGGGAGACGTGGGCAGACCTAGTACAGCCGGACGCCCAAGATATCCTGGATACTCTAGAAGATAACAGGAATTGGTACCAGAGCATGATCCCTCAGAGCCCTTCTCCTCCCCTTGATGAACGCAACAGAGACTGTCAGGGCCTGATGGAGAAGTTCCAGTTTGAGCTCACGCTTGAAGAAGAGGACTCTGATGGGCCTGAGAAAGAAAGTGATGGTATCAGCTACTTCAGCAGTACAAAGACACTCTGTGTGATTGACCCAGGAAGAAGGGGTTCCCAAAGTGAAGCTAATATAGAAATTGTGACAGAAGATACATCACCTATCGATACCTAATATATTGTTATCTGTAAGGGTGAATTTAAATACTTCATGCACATGCAGGTTGTCTTGCTAACTAGCCTGAAATCGAGGTCTTGGGCCAGCACCTACCATTGGCTAAAAGACCTTTCCAGCTACTTGAGATTGGAGTCAGGGTTAAAGAGCGTGTAGTGATTGCTCAGGAAATTAACAGGTGATTTATATTGCAGCTTAAGCTTTGTCAGCCAAAAAAAACAAAATCTGGAACCAGTGTGAGTTGCAACTGAACAAGCCTGATCGTGAACAACACTCGGCTGAAATATTTTCTATTCTTAAGAGATTTTGAAATCTAGACAGGTCTGGCATCTAGAACTACTGATTTGTAACTCTGCATTTAAAACTTGTCCACCTGTCTGCAGACCCGTGTGCCTTTTTTATAAAAAAGAAAACTTCCACGTCTTTTCAAGAAACCTACTAAGTACACAACAAAACATGTTTGATATTGATGTATAATTTTTTAAAAAAATATTCCTGTTTTAACGAAATAGGTCTTCCTTTGTAGGGGCAATACTTGTTTCTTTATTGCAGTTTAATCACGTTGACTTGCTAAATCAAGCAGGGTGCCCTCCTCTTTGCATTACTGCACCATTGGTCACTTTATCAACCCTGCAAAACCTGTGTTGTTAGCTACTGAAAAATGTCCCCCCACCCGCCCCCAGTTAATTGTTTTTGACCTTTCTTTTGCACAGGATAAAGTGTAGCTTTCTGTTCCATAGCACAATACAGCACATGTAAAAGTCAACATACTGAGGTAATGTGATGTGCATTCTCCTCCCCTTATTTTTTTAAAAAATACACTCGGTGGAAGTTGCACGTTTGGTCCTTTGTGTTTTCTCTTCCCCACCGTTCATGTCCCCTTTTCTCTCTTGCACTTGCCTTGAGCTCTAACATGTCCAGTACTGTTTATAACAGTGTATTTATTACTTAATGTATATAATGTAATGTTTTGTAAGTATTAATTTATATAAATTAACATTGCCTGTCAGTGGTGATGTTACTTGTGTAGAATACTCTGCATAAGAGTTGCCTTTCTTGTAACCTTTTGTATTGCATAAAGTAGAGAAACCTGAACATAGCTTAAAAGAGACATATTGAACCCAGAGAGGGCATTCAGGTAGCATTGGCTCACGGGGGTTTCATTTTCACTGGCATTTGGGAAATCATCACAGTTGGTGGGTGATGGAGAAATATTTAGAATCATCTGTTCAGATGATGTGAAACTACTGAAACTTTGAAAGAGGAAACCTACAGTAAAATGCCACAAAATGTTAAGTGTCAGTTTCCAATTAATGAACAACCCAATGTGAATTTCTATGACAAAATGTGAACTGGTGTTATAATTGTGCTGTGAAACTTCTTCCAACAAAGCTTGTTAGGCATGTATACAGTGCCAATCTCAGTTTGTAAAACTATGTTCCAAGCTTTCAGTCCAACTTGTGACTAACTAGTTGATGAAATAGCACAGTTGTGCATGATCAGTGGGTTTGTATGTCTGTTGAACACTGCATTGTTCCAGGTGGTTATTTTGTTTCAAAGTTTCACACAATGTATGTTGTTATAGTATTATATATTGTGTTCAGATGCATTCTTAAGAGATTTTTATATGAAGTGAATAAATTAAAGCATGACTTAGGTTGGGCTTTCCTAGATGTTCTTTTTAGTTATCTACTGTGCTTCAGTTGCATGTTTAATGCAGAATTTTTAAACGTCACCATTGGTGGTAGTGAACAAGGTATGAATCGCTCAACACAAACACACATATTAGTCACTGGTAGAGACAAGATACTGAATTAGGCAAATCTCTTACTGATTAATAAATACATAAGAACACAGAGGGTGAAACAGATTTTCTACCTTAAGAGTCTCATACCCTGCAGCAAGTTATGGCAGTGTTGTACCCCATTAATTTCTGTAAAACTCAGCAGGTTTTTAAAAACTTATAAGCTGCCCCATGGAAAATATTTCTGAAACGCGGGGTATAAACGTAATAAATAGGGAACTAAACACATAAATTTATTTCATGGGCTTAATAATTTTCCTTAGCCTCCATCTCAACACCAGTTGGTATTAAATGACAAACCAGCATACACCAGTATCTTAAACCAGTTCCCCACAAATGAAATGCCCATTTTATCAGCATCGCAGAGAGCAGTAAAATGTAAGCAAAACTGTCTGGGTACCTGAAAATTAATATAGAAGAGCCATCTGCCTCCTGGTGATGGCTGGAAAGCAGAAGTTTGTAAAATGTCTATGCAGTAGTGGTCTTAATTCTATATTTTAACTAATAAACACATAGTTTTTCATGCGTTGGAGAACTTCCCAAGAGTGGCTGCACAAATCACTAAAAACAAAATGTGATGTGACTGAAGCCATTCACTACAAGTAAGTCATTCTCAGTTCCTAATCCCAACTCTTCTTTGTGCCGGTGATACAGGAACAAAGGTCATAGGTAAATATGGTCTCAGGTTATCTTGGATAACCTCTTAAATAACCTTTTTGTCTGCTAATCTATGAATAGGTCAGGTGGAGCACATTCAAATGCCACTTCCCCTGGTTTGTCACCTAGATTGCTACGGGTATGATGTGAAAGTACCTGCAGTTCTAAATTTTGGATTGCCAAGGAAATATGATTAAATTATATCATTCTTTACTGCAGAATATTTGCATGAAGTGGTTAAACATAGAAGAAGCTGAAGAGGTAATGAAGACAGATCTCTTGCTGTCAACGCCCCCCCCCAGCCCCCCCCCCACACTATGACACTCTTTAGGGGAGCGGGTGGCACTGTGACCATGCCTCTTGGGCTTGCTGATCAGAAGGTCAGTGGTTCAAATCCCCGCAACAGGGTGAGCTCCTGTTGTTCTGTCCCAGCTCCTGCCAACTTAGCAGCTCGAAAGCATGCCAGTGCGAGCAGATAAATAGGTACCACTGTGGGAAGGATTAAAGCTAGTTCTGGACAACTTGCCACACTGCACAGTCCTAAGAGGGAATGAACTCAGCCAAATACTGAACAATCTCGTAAGAACTGTTGCAAACCCTTTTTATAATCCAGTGGAGGCATTTCATTAATGGCATCCACTTTGCTGTCACCTGGCTTCAGTCCACGACTTGAGAATTAATAATAATAATAATAATAATAATAATAATAATAATAATAACTTATACCCCGCCCATCTGGCTGGGTCTCCTACCCATTGCCAGTAGTCATATTTTTCATTGAGGATGGCAAATTTCTCTGGACATCAATATCTGTGTGAATATAAAATTGTCTCCTGACAGCCTTCTTGAAGTTCTAGGGTCAGGACACAGCCTAAGCGACCCATTCTTCTTCTGTATAATACTTCAGCTACTCACCCATGCTATAGGCTGTCATGAACTGGCAGGATGATGGGGAGGAGGAAGAGTGTCCCAGCAAGGGGTGTAGCCAGGACTGGGACACACTGGGGCAAGCAGGGGATGGGGAAGGAAGTACTCAGAAGGTGACAGGGGGTGAATGCACGGGAACCAGAGCAGCACGACCCATCACCAGAGCCAGAGGGGCTCTTGTCCCCATGAACACAGTGGGCTCTGAGATGTAGGGAGCAGAGGGAAGGGCATTCTAGGAGGCTGGGGCAGACAATAGCCTGCAGCCCAGCTCCCTAGCTGGCCAGGTGGGGCTCATTAGCTCTGGGAGAAGGTGTGTGATTCCTCAGCTGGAGTAGGCTCAGAACAGGTGAAGGTCACAAGCCTCATCAAGCCCAGATGCTGCAATCAACAAGCAAAGACGGAAGCAGAGCTGAGGTGCTGTCTGCTCAACTGCCCCTGTTGATAGACTTTGGCTTGAATGCTCCTGGAGTCTGCTTTGGGTTTGACTCTGGACTGCATTCTGACTGCTGCACTTCAGAATTGGCTACTTGGATTGACCGTGGACTGCGTTTCCTGAGCTTTGGACTTTGGTTGTGTGGCTTGACCCTGGACTTTGGATTTGCTGCCAGGTAAGCCAGGGGTTCAGGACATAGACTTAGTCACTTTAGAGATGACCCAATGAACTTGAGGTACTGTGGGGCTGGTTGCAGTTGGTCCTCTATGGTGTTGGAGATATTCCTGCATCCATAAACAACTAGGAATACAACTTAGTCTACATAAATGTATATGTGCTGCCGAAGCAAGCACTAGTCTGCATAAATGTGATGCACACCTGGAAAGGAGTGTGCTGTAAGGAGCTATCTATGTCTTTAGCAGTGGCCAAGTGGCATGATCTTCATTCACACACCTGATGAGTTGCATAGTCTCACATGCTGCATGGTCCACCTCAAAACACCTTCCTTGCAAAAGGCTACGAATGTTCCTCTTGGTGTAATTCTTGTCCCTCCAAATGCAGTCAGGGTGACACTTGCTGGGATTGGTTTCACCTTCTTGTGCAATAATTTGGCCACATTCTCTGCACCAGTGTCCAGTTAGAAATAAATAGGCTTGCCAGCAACAGTAACTGGAACACCAGGGAGCAGGGGATACCTTTTGCACAGCATCCACAAAGGATTATGGTCCTTGTCCAGGAGTTGATTAACAAATGTCTACAGCACAAGGTAGGATTTAAATAAAGGTTTCTTAGCAACCTAGCCCTCAGCCTGCCTGAGCATGATCTACAAACAGCATGGTTATTTAATGAGGAAGACAAGCAATTTTCCAAACCCACAAGTTTGTGCATCTTTAAATCAGTGACATAGCGATTAGTGCTTTCCCCTTCCATCTGAATTCATGTGAAGAACTTGTTTCTGTCAAGTCATTCTTTTTAGGAGTGCAGTAGGCCTCAGATTTGCTGGTAACAAATGATGTATTTTACTTATCTGACTATTTGATGAACTGAAAGATATTGAAAACCTTCCTAGCCTCTTCCCCAGGCACATGCAGAAATAGGGCAGTTTTTGATTCACCATCCTTTATAACTGCATCGCAAACAATGCTGTATACTTCAGATTCCTGCTTCCACTTTCTCCAGTTGCTGGCCACATTGCCCTGAAGTACCAGCTTCCCTGGAAACTCATATTCATGCTATAACCACTGTGCTGAGATGTCTATGGGGAACAAGCCCAGCTCTCACACCATGCAATATGGTTCAGTGGATCCTTTATGTATCTACTCACATGGTTGCACACCTTCCTGTTAACCCTACACCACAGCATATACCCAAAAAAGCAGTTGCTGAACTACAGAGGAAAAACAAATAGCTCTGAGGCTGGCTTGCACCAAACTGAATTGGTATAGGGCTGACACCCACTGAGGAGCAATTGTGTAACAGCCAATCTCATTTTAACCCTTTACATGCCATATATCACAGGGCACATCTTTTCTACAGATTTTTGCATTTAGTGTTAACATGCTGTTACCTCATTTTTGATTTTGAGTTATATCTTCCTATATAGATAACAATGTAAGGCTGTCATTGCGCAGTCCCACTAGAGGATATGTAAATGCCTCATCACAATCCTGGATTTGTGTAAACTCAGGGCTTGGCAGGAGAGCAAAAGAAAAGGCAGTTTTTTAAATGGCAGTTTTAAATAACAGAAGAGGTTTGAATAGAGAAGGGTTGTGAGGGTATGATGGGGTTTTATTCATCTATTTATTACATTTATATACCACCCTTCATCAAACGATCTCAGGGCAGTTTGCAAAATAAGGGGTTTAAAGAGCTGTGATGATATGGGAATGGTTTGAAAAGGCTAGAGAATAGGCACCTCCTTCCCAAAGCCTACTTAGCACTTTCCCAGCTTTCGGAAGGAGGTGGGAGGGCCCCTGGCCCCTGACAAAGCTTTGTGCCTCCTTCCCATAGCCCAGAATCTTGCTTAGCCAGCTTTATGAAGGGAATGTGAGGGCTGGGGGGGGTGTTGTTGTCCAGTTTTGGCCTTGCTTCCCCTGTCCTGCATCATGAGGCTATGTGTGGCCCATGGGTTCTGCATCAAGCACTCTTGCAGCCCACCTCATATAAGTTGGGTTGCCCTGATCTAAGAGGTTATTGTGAGGGTGGCAGGGGAGATGGCAATAGGAATGATCAGGGGCACAGCCCCATGTGCTTTCAAGTGTTCAATACATTATTCTGTTATAATCCTCACAGCATCCTTGTAAAGCACACAGAATTACCCACATGGGGAAGGGAACAAAATGAGGGGTGGGGCTTAACTAAAGTCATCCAGTTGAGTTCATGATAGTTCTGATTCATAGCTAAGTCATTACGCTAAACTACACCAGATCTCAAGTTATTTGGCCACTGATAATTCTTGTGTTATATTCTGAATTTCGTATCAGTGATGTTGCTCAAGCATGGTGATTTTCTAAACAGGACCAACCTTTGCTCATCCTTCCCTAACATGAACTGGAAAAGACTAACTTCTTGTATTTGTGCATTCAATCATAAATCAACAGCACCATCTGGTGGAGAAAGGGATAATAATCAAATCGTAATGCACCACATCATTCTACCTATCTGTATGGTCTTCTTCCTCCTTCCCTGACCCCTGGTCCTCCTCCTCCTGTTCCTGTTCCTGCTCCTTCCTGACTCCACCAACCACTCCAACTCTCAATTAGCCCTCTTCTCACCAGCACCTGGCGCTCTCTCTCTCTCTCTCTCTCTCTCTATATATATATATATATGCACTTCT